TCATGATTTGGATATTCTGCAGTATTTGGTTCATTTCATATGGATTAGTTAGTTTAGAATTTGAACACTTTCTGTTGAGACATACTATTGATGCTAAATTCTCATGTGCCACAGTGTTCGCAGTGTTAATTACCAGTCTAATGGTTACCCTAGTTTGTGCACCGTAATAGTACTTGGTATGATTATGAGTAATAATTTGTGGTACAAACATCGTCAGCTAATTATAATATACTGATGTGTACATCAAATAAGCATATATAATACAGAACTATACCGTACCACAGTACCCACTTCCTATTCTTGGATTCATCAAAGTTGTACATCAGTTATATGTAATGCGGTATAATGTTTTTAATTTTCCAAACGCGCTTTCACTATTTTGAATAGTTTTATAATGATTCATTCTGACCCAGAGGTGAAATGATTTCCTAGAGATTCTCAGCATCTGTGGTTTCGGATATTTATAATTTTACACGTGTTTGGGGTTCGGTAATTTTTTCACTTAGCTGATACAAGTCAGAATTATTTTTAGCAAGTTTGGAGAGGTTAAAAACGTATAACTTAGAAATATTAAGCACACTGCTTAAGCACTGCTGCTTACAAGATATTTTTTCAATAATTTAATAATTCCCATTGTAGCATTAAGAACACAATATTCAGCGAAGAGACTCTTTTCAACGAATTTATTATCCAGCTGTTCAATCGCATATATATAAATGGCTTTTTAAGAAATTATATCCGGTGAGGGAATTAGATCAAAAGTGTGAACACATGAAATAATAATAGTAGCATGAAATGCAATTAAAATATTTGTGATTATAATCATAGTTAAGTGTCAAGTAGCAAAACAATTAATGTCATATATAGAGTAATACATAAGGAACATTTGTAATTCTGATTGTGTTGACTCAGAACTTGACTTCCTAAAAACCACGCTCGCAGAAAACGGTTACCCGAACCGATTTATTGACAGTAACACGAAAGATGAGCAGTCTAAACTGGTCATCGACTTAGTTCCAAAGAAAACCTTGTTCATGAACTTGGAATTCAAAGGTAATCAAGCTTCAGATATGCTTAAAATCCGTTTCTCTAAAGCAGTCAGTAAGACATTCTTTGCCCCAAGTTGTTGTCCATCTCTGTAAAACATAAGCTCCCCCGTCTGGCCAACTCTATGTTCATGTATCAGTTCATCTGCTCTTGTGGAGCAAGGTACACTGGCCGTGGTCAGAGGACGCTTTCCACACGGATACGAGAACATATTCCAGCATGGTTTAACAAGGGAGAAAGGAAGTGTGTGCAAAGCTCTATTCTAGAACACCTGATCGACTCCTGTCACTCTGCCAACCCTGACCATGATTTTAAGATCGTCTACTGAATCCATGCTAACTTGCCATGAAGTTCATAGATGGCGAATTCCTGAATTTAAAACTTTACAGTAGACGCGGAATTATTATTACACTGAGGTGATATACCCTGATTCGTACTGGGATTCAGTAACAGATAATTTTCTCTCAAACTTTAAAGTTAAATTATACATTGTGTTGAGGATTCGGACGCGAGATAATGACGACCGTCTGACACGTTTCATTGTCTTGAATGGCATTCACTACTGAGTTGCTAAAATCTTAGATACTTCTTTGACTTGATGTGTTAGAATTCCAAACAAATTCTTGCCACAAAGAAACTTCATAAATTGTTCGAATACTCAATTTGGCACAGAATGTAGTGAGTTGACAAATTATAAGAACAACTTAGTGGCTTGCATAAAGCAAACATCTAGATAGTACTATGTGTTAATTATTTGAAAGAAGGTATTTATAAGCTATGCAAGGTGTTTTCCAAGTAAAATTCTGTATTTTCTGTTCTTTTGCGTATGTGTGGTACTTACAGATTTGAACCTTTTCTAACCATCTGAACAAACAATGTTTTCAACAACAATAATAATATCAAGAAAAACAGGAACACCTAAAAATGTCTCACTTGAATTTATGCCTTTGTGCTTGTTCACCGATTAGTTTAGATAATTAAGAAAGAATCAACTGTTATTGTAGAAATTAACTTTTTAGAACTTATGCTTTATGATTGTACAATAAGTAAGTGGTGATTTTTAAGGACTCTTCTTTCATTTGCTAATTTACCTTACTCTCCTCACTGATGTTTAAGTATACTCTACTTCTTAAGCATAAATTCAATTACCTTACAACAAATTAGACTACAAGCGAAAAATAAACTTGTGAGTAGAAACAGGAGAGATTTTATTTAGCCTCAAGGATTATGAGGTCATTTTCTAATGGGACAACTCAACTTGAAATAGTTATGTTGTTAGTGCATTAAAGCAAATTAAGAAATAAAGGTTCATTTTTTCACCTCAAACTTAAAAGAGGGCGAGTTTTATCTTCAGTGCTGTAGAGAAAACCAAAACCAAGCTAGAAGTGGGTTACATTTGTAGGTAACAGTCGTTAAGGTGTAAGTTTTTAACTACTATAGTCAATCTCTTATCGATGTTAGGTTAAACAGAAATTATTATGAAAGGAATTTGTAGAATACCAGATAAATAAACCAGACGGAAGCTTATAGTAAGAACCATTGAAAATAGACTCATTACTGATAAGAAATAGAAACCCAATATTAGGAATTCAGTCTACTGCTGCCTTTTTCCTTTTTGTTTCTTCATCGTTTATCAGTCTCCTATGGAACAGCATATACTTATTAGCGCATTTTTTTATCAGTAATAAGTACTACAGCGAGATAAAGGTAAAACAGGCTTTCGTTCCCAAGTTTAACTAAAAAGAAAACTCGTGGCCTAGTTTCAGTTCACAATACGACGTTATTTTTCTACATTAGCCCGAATGCAACTGAGTGTTCATCTGTGCTTTTAAACCTTACAGAAGTTGATTTGACTTTTTATTTACTTATAGGTAGATTTTGTATTTACAGGCAAGGTGAAACTTGCATTCCACATTTAGCCACCAGTTGCTGATTAAATAGTAACGTTCACTGCTCTCAGTAGAATTATTTCACGGAGAATACCTTATTTTACCAAAAACTTTCTTCACACCTAAAACTACTCTCCAGTAAACAAATCGAAATTTTACCAGAAATGAACAATTGTTCCTGTAAATATGGTGTTATTCTCTACTGGCTTTTTGTTTGCCTATCTTCATGATTCGAGTTTCAAACTTAATGATATCTGTAACTGGGTTAGCGCAAGTAAATCTAGCGATTTATAGTTGACCTGAGTGTCACTTACTAAATACCTTCCCAGCATTTTTGAATTATTTATCACTTTAAACTAAAATCTATAGGCGGCCACGTTCACATCCAGTTCAAAGTAAAAGAAACAACGAGAAAACTGGAGTTCATCTTAACAAGACAGTTGATAAAAATACATGTGCATGTACTGACTGCAAGTAATATCACTCAAAGTTATTTCACCATACCACTTCTAAAAAAGAACAAAGTTTACCTTTTTATGAAGCTGTTAATGGTAAACATTTCAGAAATGACTACTCAAGTTTCACGATCAAACTAAAAACCCAAACGAACATATGAGCACTAATATCCAACTCCTGACCTACAAGTTCAGTAACCTCAAAGATCACTTTATATTGTGACAATTCTGTGGTATTAGGTGGTTGGAGGCAATCGGCAGGAAGCCTTGGACCTAGGTTTCGTGCTAGTTGGCACTCGTCAGCAAGGCGTATCTGCAACCTTGAAGGAACTAATGTCCCTTGTGAGATTCGAACCCGCGTCACCCAGTGCTGCAGTCAGAGACGTTACCACTGAGCTATTCGGGCTCTGTGGTTTTGAAAAAGGTATTTCACATTAAGAACAACTATATTTTCTAGTGGATGCCTAGTCTATCATATGCTACGATGGTGTTCTCGTGACTACTTGTTTCCATATCTACTGACAACAGTGAGATGGTACGCAACATAAAGGTTGTGTACAAGGTTCGACGAGGGTTGTATGCTACCTGTATGTCCCCCAGGCCTGACTATGTTTGTGGAGCTGTGGCTCACTGCTTTAGGCACTCAACTTCTAACCACTAGGTCACGGGTTCGAACCCTGCTGTATTTATAGAGGTTGGAGCAGCCAGGTGGTGTCAATAGCTCATACATAACAGGTGTGGCCCACTGATAACCGTATGGAGCTGCAATTGGTTATTCAGTAACATCCCATTGTTAACATTCTTATTTTCCAGCGAAAGCATTATTGCAGCTGCTTAATATCGTTGCTGTGCGTTTGTGGTTCAGCGGTAGAATACTAGTCAGCTATGCACGTTACTGTGGGTTCGATCTCAGAGTGACACACTTCCGTACCTGCTTTAACTACCGGCCTCCCTTAACCGGTAGTAGGCCTGGTAAAAATGGAAGGTAAGGTGTGAGGATAGCAATCTCACCCCTTAAAATAGCCCAGCGCTGCTGAAACTTCTAAATTCAATCTAGAAGCTTTATGCTCCGTTCCGACTGTAGAGGAATAAAATAAAAAAGTATCATCTCTCCGTCTTTTTGTCGGATATTATACGGTACTAACTTCTTTGCCTTAAAGATAACCTCACATCAGCTTTGGTTTCATGAATTAATCACAAATGGAAATAACAATACTGGATCCCGACCCGGTGACTGTACGTCAACCCGCTTGGACTGAATCTCAGTTTCTCAGAAGACAGAGCTTGTGTACTGCCGAAGACTTCTGAATAACAAAGAAACCATTATGCAAAGCTCCTTGTGTTAAATGTTTTGGCTGGCTGGTATCATTTCTTAACAGTTATCAAGTAAGCTAGTATTTCCATGTACGAGGACTTGCGCTTCTTTCACTATATTGCTTCATATCTCGTTCCCCGCTTTTATCATAGATTTTCCTTTAACATTCAGCGACATTCACAGATCAATTAATGTATTATATGTTGGGATATTTGTAAGGCACTTCTTTTCGTTAGATGAGTTTTTCAGAACTACCTATTAAACATTTCACTACCTCAACTTATATTTCTATAGAAATCTGTTGGAATAATTTATCATTTCATGGTACAACTTATTTATTACGAAAGTCGTGGGATATCATGCAGTTATCTTCTACGCAATGGAATGAAAAAAGTGGTAGTCAAATTGGAAGCATGTGAAAATTGGCCATATCCAAGTTCAGAATCACAGTGGCTATTGACATTTAATCGATTTTTAAGAAATTGGTGCAAAGTTGTTCAAGTGAGTTGAGATTAATATTTTCCTAGCCTTATATAATGTAATATGTTAAAATCTAATCTTGAAATGCTTTCTAGTATGGAGTGGTAGTTATGACCTGCATAACTTAGTGCTGGTGTATTCAGATTGACACTGAATGTTACAGATTGGAATCCTGTAAATGATATCATATATCATCTAGTTTTGTGGGATAATATTAATTTCTCATGTGATGGGATTCTTACAGATTATTAGAAAGCTTTCAGCTGAAACTTTTTATGAAAGAATGACAAATGAATAAAATCTCCAGTATCCACTGTCTACCAAACTCCAGAAAAAAACACGACTAGGGAATCAATATAGAACGAAGCAGATATGTGTATCATAATTCAGTAGATTAGTGGACAAAACTGCGACTTTTGGAGGAGACGACACTGAGTTCGAGACTGCATGTGAACAACACTGAATTGATGACTGATGAGTCTTCAATAAGACAGTAAGGGAGATGTGACTTTGCTAACTATTCAATAAACAGGATATGTTTACAGAAGATAATGTTAAATTTAGATTCTTTCATTCGGTTTTGAATTTCAGTCTTTTGCTAGAAATCGTTTTTAGGTGAAGTTTAGATACCTTCAAAGTGTTAAACTGAGTTTGTTGGTGAAGGTAAACTGCAGCATCCATTGGACGACCTTGAGCAAACAGCCATGTCACTAGTCGTAAATAGAGTGTAAATTGTACTGCAGTAGCTATCTGCAGATCTGATTTCTCTACATTTAACGTCCAGGACGAGGACAACAGTTGCATTATAGTAAGATTTAGGGATAAATTTAAGTTGAGGGTTAAGAGTTATATAAGGGTTAAAGCTTAGATTAAGCTTGGGAGTTAGGTTCATGATCAAGGGTTAGGGTAATAGTCTAACCACTTAAACTTACAATTTGTCAACAAACTCAAGGGCTTTTGCAGTTCTTTGTTTGAATTGTGTGTTCAAGGTCATTAAGTGGCTGCTACAGTTTATCTTCATCTGTTTGTTTTAGTTAGCTAAAAATAGTAAAAGACGAAGGATTTTCTGAAGGGGGAATATTATGAAGAAGTTTCCAGCTTAACCATTTTAGCCAACAGTCTGCGCTTTAAATATTGAATTTCTAAAGAATGTTTGATGTTTTTCAAGTAATTGTCACTGACTACTAACTGGTCAGATTTCTAACAACTTGATTTCACTCAAAAACATCATTGCTTGTAGAAATATGTGTACATATATTGGCCTCCAGGGAAAGTTTCACTTTCTTTCCACTAACTGGTTGCAGTTCTATGCTTAATATATTTTTTTGATGGTTCAAGTACTTGAATAATGTCTCTAATGAATAATCAAACAGATTTTCCATCAATATACATCTATTTACAAACAGTTTGGATCATAGAATTGTTTAATTTCGGCTTAGAATTTATTACCGCTCTCTTTATAACCTTCTGTTCAGATAACAAGTGGAGGAACTAAACGATACGAAACAATCGGACATGCAACATTCACGAAACTAGAGGGCACAATGTTTGTAACGGGAAAATTTAAAACTGATTTGGCAGGAAAGCAACAAAAACTGCCAGATTTTTGTTTGTATCTAACTACAAACATTATGGATACCGATTTTTATCGTGGGTGTTTACTAACTGGAATGTTGGAGAGAGGCAATCGAAAATTAGGCATTTGGGAGTCGACACATTATGCGTATGTTAAACGCGAAGGTTACTGAAAACAACATTCTATACTTTGTTGTCATTATTTTTGTAAATTTTATTGAAGCAATTTTTAAAATTGTGTTCGGGTCTGTATGAAACAGCCAACTAATAAACATAATTAAATTAAAAGATTTTTGTATAAGTGATTTGAGAAGAAAGAGAATGCTTGAAGGAATCATATTCCACTCCAGTAAACTTGTAAACGTATGCATACAGGTTGATTAAGACCAGCTTTAAATGTTATTAGGCCAGGTTACTGCAGGTAATCGTATAGGGAAAGCGCGAAGTAATCAAGTTCTTCAAATTTCTGACTGATGAATAAAGATTTTGACTTAATCGAAAAAATGTTGACTTATTCCAGCATATTTCGCAGAGATCTTAATTTAATGCAGGATATTTATGTACTTTTACATATAGAAGGTAACAAATTCAGATGAAACTTAAAATTAATAATAATTAGTCTGAAATTCACCTAAATTTAATCATATTAACCATACAGCGAGAGAACTGTTGACTGTTTCTGCAGTCGACAACTTAGGATATTAAAAATGTTTAAAACTGTTTACTTTGATGAATACTTAAATAATTTTAAGCTGTACATTCACAAAAAGTATACAATCCTACAATGGGACAATTATGATATTATTGTTATTCCCTTGCCTTCCAAGTAGAACATACGACTTCAACAACACATCTTCACTTTCTATTTTCTGCCGTCCTCTTCAGATGGATCCACGATTGACCATAATCTCTCATCTCCTCCTCACACGACCTCATCCACGTCACCCTAGGACGACCCACTCGTCGCTTCCCAGTTGAATTCTACTCGAGTGATGGCCTGCAATGGGCGCGATGTCATTCAATGGCCTCCTCAATGTATGTCTTATCCATCTCCATTTTCTCCCACATATTTGTTGAGAAATGTGCTCGGCTGGTTTTTCCCAGCCAAAGTTTCTTGTTGCTAATTATTTCTGGGCATTTAATCTTCAGTATAGAGCCAGCGAAGTGGGTAGCTGTTGATAAAGGTCTGAAACTGCCTGTTGGCAATCCTTTTCGTGACACGCAGTGCAGGTTTCTGACCCATACGGAAGAAGTGACTGACTCAAAATTGGTGTTGAAAATCCCAATCTTGTTCCTCATGCTGGCTGAGTGCAGAAGATTTCCAAACTGGTTTCAGGCTGATGAAGACGTATATTGCCTTTCCGATTCTGACTGGTTTTGACATCTGCATCCGTGCCATTCGCCTGTATTTGAAACGATGCTTCCTAGACACGTGAAGGAGGTAACCTCTGTTAAATCTCTCCCGTTGATGGTGGTTGATGCTGGTTGTTCTTGTTGCGGTTGGTTGGCTATCTGAATTCCCTTCGTCTTCTCTGTGTTCACATACAGTTCTGTCTTCTCTGCCTCTTCAGCCAGTTTGTTGGTTTTCGCTTGCAAGTCTTGGAGTTTGTGTGACAGCAATGGGATAATTAGTGGTGAATAACTCGAAATGTTTCCACTTAGTATTTCGTTTAATAAAATTACATCAACTTTGTATATTATGTCTCCACAAGATGTACTGGTAACTACAGTTGGTAAGATCAGTGTTGCTGTTGAATACACGCAAGAAAAAATAGCATATAAGCATATAAGAAAGTAGTACTGGAAATGAATTAGTAAACTTTAAATGTCATAAGATTATGAAGAAGCGTTCTACTGAAAAGTGTGAATGGTTATGAATTGGAAGACATTTGACTCATAGAAATATACATTCTCCAGCTGAAATGAGTTTGCTTACCTGAAGCAGAGTTAACGTAAACATCTCAAAAAGATTATATGCATACAAAAGAATTTGAAGTACGTAATAGAATTAAGGACTGGCAATTGTTAGCACAAGAGTTGTTTCCTGATTTCCTAAGTATTTTGGCGTTTACTTTTATAGCCATTCAATTCATTTTTACAAGCGAAGAAACAAATTAGTATGAGTTTAACTGGACAGCACTTCCCAGGAGTTATAAGGACATTAACTAATCAGATAATAAAAACAGATTTTGGAGTCTCATTTTATGTAGCTAGACAAGAGCTAGGAAACATGTCGGTTAGCACATTAAAAATCTCCTGATTAGCAATTTACTACAAAAAACTAGAACCGAAGACCATTTTTCAACGCCGTAGCATGATTCAGCCAGCTGGTTTAAACTACAAGAGAGTTCTTGGCATAAAACAGTAATTAACTGTCAAATTTATCACTTCCGTTGTTTAAGTAGCAAAAAATTATAAGAGAATTCACTTTTTTCAGATACAACCTGTTGAAGACTGTGGTTATATATCTCTGCAGCTTGAATGGAGCGGCGGTGTGACGGAGGTAACAGAATTGATTCGATTTTTATGTTAAAACGGTATTTTAACTATCCTCCGACCAGAAGAAAATTACAGTCGTGGGACGTACATCTAAATATTCTAATAAGTAGTGTGATGAGAATTAATAAATGTAATCCAAGAGGTGGTAAATCATTCAGATTATACCGGTTGAATAGATTGATTTCGTCTTTACATACAGTGCTAAAGGTTTCGTATGAAGCTAAGAGTAGCAAGATACTCCCAACAACATAATAAAACATTGGGTTTCTCTCTTAATTTTATTTTAGTGACCGTGATTATTTGATTTGTGAATAGTAGATTAAGAAATATGAATGTCTAAAACAACTTCTCATCATATATTCATGTATTACCCAAAACGAGTCTTTTAAATGTCATACACTGAATCGTATAACTTCATTTGTTCACACACTTCAGATCTTGCAAAGATATCTCATCTCATTTAAATTATCCCACGAAATTTCCTCATTCCAATGTCATTGTTCACAAGATTCATGCATATTTCATTCATGAATTTAATTTGTCTGTCTACTGGTCATATTTTATTCTTTTGTCAGGAATTCGTTACTTCTAATTGATTGTTTTCGGCTGTTGCCGTCAATATCTTCACAGGAAATGAAAGATTTATTCTCTTTGGACAAAAGGAAATCTAGAGTGACTGAAATAATTGAACTATATGCAAAACCGCCTAAAGAGGAAGCAGGCTAATGTTTCATAGATAGGAAAACGCGCAGAAAAATGTAAAATATCAATAAAAAAAATTAGAACCCACAAGGAAAGAAACAAGAACAATGAGTTCACAAGCTAATCACTAACGTTGTTTTATCGGATTTGAGAAAGAATTACCAGTGTAGCGAAAATTAATATAAAATAATCAGACTAACAGGCTCAGCAGAAATTCCATTTTGAGTTTCCTAGAAATACACGATGCCAATCAACACCTTATTCGATTCTCCAGTGGTTGAGTTTCCATTTTCATACCTTTGTCATGTGATTGGCTGATATTTAGGGTCCTATTAAGAGAGAAGTCTCCACTGATTCTTATCAAGACACATTGGGATTCATCTGGTGTGTACAGGGTATGAATCTGTCTTAGAAATGTTGATTAAACAACAATGTCGAATCACGTCTTCCTGGTGTTCCACTTAAAAGCCATTCATTTTATATTGAAATACTGACATGATAAAGACTTAAATATTGCAGTATGAACTCTGTATTTAAAGCAAAATCTATCAAGATTCCCCTTTAATACACAACGACAAAGTCTACAGATAGAAAGACGAAATTCCTATTAGTCTTTCAGGGGAATACCACTGACAAATGTTTTATAGCCCCCCTAGAGATTAGGTAAAAACTACAGTGTAGATGAAAACGATCATTTCTAATAATTAATGCGCTTTCAGTTATGTATTGATGTATGCATTTAGCATCTACCAATCAGTCATAAATTCTACTTTAGGAAGGGAGAACGATTCATAGATTAATGGAATATTGAGAAGGCTGAGGTGATGTAGGACGCGCAGCTCATGGATTCCCACAGCCAGGTGCCGATTGGTGGCATGAATAGTGTTCACAGTGTTATTCTCATTCGGTATATTTATATCTTCTGTGCTATGGAAAAAGAAACACTTCTAACAGAACTCTTGGTCGGAAATCAGCTCCATTCATGGATAAAAGTAGCAAACCGAATCCTGTGAGGTGTGACGAAAATCTATATCCCAGGTAGTCGCCTAATTTCAAAGTTGACCTAACTGCTGATCGCCTAAACTGAATAATTTTAAACTGCCTAGGGAAAATAGTCTTTACAATAATATAAATTTACAGCAACATGAAAGATCAAAATTTTCATCTGTATGTACTGGTAGTTTAAAATGGATTATAAGCAAGACGACTCAGGAAAACTATTCATCTTGGTTACAGAAGTGAGTTTATAAGGGTGCGACAATTGGACAGCATGCCAAGACTTTCCTGCTTAACAGATATTTACAAAGTGAATGTCAGTCTTCCAAAATCGCTGTGTTCACTTTCTTTGTGTCGCTGGAATTTCATCTATTTGGATAAAGGAGACAGAACGTTGAACACAAAAGAGACTTAGATTTCCGAATTATCATTCTCAACTTGCTTAGCATCGACTTTTCATGTTTCATTTGTGATAACGATTCATTTAGTAGATGTTTTGTTGTTGTTGTTGTTGTAAATGTATCATTTTCATTTTTTTGTGCTGTGAAATGATTAACACTGAATAGTTCGGACATCTTTGTAAACTATGGGTATTTCAGAAAAACTTCACTGAATAATGTGTGTATTGCCGACAACTAATTTCACTCAATACTTTACCAGTACACTAAAGTACATAACCAGAATGTAGGTTATCTGAACTCAATAACTGTTTTCATCTGAATTATTCAGAGCACTCGGTTATTTATCTTATTCTCAAATGCGGAATACTCGAATCTGACTAACAAACACTGTTGGCTGGTTTGAGCAGATTCTGCATACTCATGATAGTCAGTAGTATACCTTGAGAAAATTCGTATTTGGATGATTGATTAGATGAGGATTTTTATGACAGACTACTTTAAAAGTTCATTTTCTGGAAGGTTTCCCTACAGAAATGGATTTTTATGCTTGACACCTAAATATTATTATAAATATCCTTGAAAAACATGCTAGTCATTTAGTCCGCTATTCTTTGGATATAATATTTGTTTTGTGAATGTATTTCAAGTTCAATGTTTACACATATTAAACCTGAACAATAGGAAATTATAGAAAAGTATCGTGAATAGCCATATTATTGCTCGATTAGCTATTATGATAAAATTCAACCATTGATATCTTTTCTAAATTGGTTGAATAACATCTTCATGCAAGTATTATTTGGTATGTGTACATATTATAAGCTTATGATTAACCAAAAGTCATTTTAATACGGTTGGTTTTAAGTCAAGTGAGCGACCACTTCGGTGGGATAGGAGTTTCATTGTTCAAGCACTCATATATGTCGGCATTAAATTTGTATCATTCCCGTATGAGAGTCTCCCTTTCTAAGTAAAAAATAGCATTTGAGAAAAAACTTCGTTTTTGAAAAAAATTAACTGGATTAAACTGTTATTTGAAGAACAAAAAGTAAAAGACTATGCAAAACAACATGAACATATTTGTGTTTCAACGTTCTCCAAATGAGATCATCATAATATACTTTACTGATTAATAAACCTCTTTGAGAAATCCGATGAGATAAACACAAAGACATAGGTAAAAACGAAATTCTTTTTTTTTAAACCAACATATTAAATAATATTTATATGCATATGGTTGGAATTTGTGCTCAGTAATGGTGAATAATAATAACAATAATTAAATTAGGCAAAATTTCCAACCAAAGTTGGGTGTGGTATAAAATCTGGCCTCCAACGTTCTCGAATACGTCGAAGTTTATCAGGTTCTTCAAATTCTGGAAAACCAAAATTGTCGAGTAAGTTCATAAAGCTTACTTGATGTGTTACCTGAATCAATGCAAAAAAACAACAGTCAGTAACTGAGCATTTAATCGTAAAATAATTTTAAAAAATGTATTATATTCGCTTAAATTTAGAACATAAAGCAAGTATGAATAATAAATTAAGTTTGAGACTTTATAAATCTAAAAAGTTGATGTTTAGGAAATAGGCAACTAAAGTGTGAATCAGTATTTGCATAAAAATTTAGTATGCGTAAAAATGAAAGAGTTTGTTAAAAATACCGACCAAAAAGTTAATGTTTTTTTTCCTTCAATTATATTAAATGTGATTTCTATCGGAAATTTGTCTAAGTATGCGAAACAGTGAAAAGTGGGGATTCAGGGATTTAAAGTCGATAGAAATACATTAAATCCACCTGTTAATGAAGGTGATAAACTTTGTGCTTTAGGATAGTCTGCTGTTTAAGCATCAGGTACCTGAGCTGTAGCTAAATAAACGTCTTTCCAATAAAAATGAAGTTGCAAAACCTTTATTATTAGCACCTAAAAACAGTAAGTATATATATATATATAGAGAGAGAGAGAGAGAAAGAGACGGAGAGAACTGAGCAAGAGATCCAAATCACGAGAAGTGAGTAACAGGAGGAAAGTGGTTTCCGAAAGGTGAAATCAGCATAAAGCGTATTGTCAAACTAATTAATCAAAGGATATCTAATAGTTATTGATGTTAATTGATATTGATTTATAGTTTCTGTTTCATTCACGTCTACATGAAGTTAAATATTATTTATATAGATAAACAGCTATTGTCAGTTAAAGCATCTGGGTCTCTGAGTATATGCTGATATAAACAATACTTGGTTGGTTGGTGAAATTCAAGTCATGCTGTAGTGAAAAGCACTTTTGCTCAAAGAACGCTTATCAATATCGTTGTAGATATCAGAGTGTATTTCAACCCAGCGGTTGGGTGTTAACTTATTTGCTTCAATATCTGGCAGTTCTGAACTAGATTCTTTGCGTCTGAATACATGTGAACTGATAAATACGATTAAATTATTATGAGTTAGCGTTTTGTTATTTTTATTGTTATGAGAGGTTTTCAGCTGATGTCAGCTAGTTATGAAGGTCAGAATAAATCCAATAAAACGTGACTAGATATATTTATAATTATATGTAAAAAGCTGTTGATAAAATATGATAGATTTTAAAAAAGAGTGTTGGAAAAGTTATTATCACAACCGGGAAATAAATGAAGGGGTTTGGCCACCGGACATTAATCACTGCATAAATGATACACAGACTAACGATGTTTCACGCACATACTAAGCTAAGACTTCACTTATGCAAACTACCATTTAGTCAATCTACATTGAATTAAAGGTACCTTTTGTCAGTATCAGTATCCAGCAAAAAACCTTTAATGTTGAAAACTGTGTTGCGTAACCTTTGAGGGTGAGTTATGGAATTCTAAAAGTACTTTTCCTCCTGATTATTGTTCATGAAGCGGATGTACTCTTATTGCAGTCGGTTGTAGAGTCCCAGCTGAGAACAGCGTTAGTTATGTCTGAATATTTATTCTAAATCATGTCGATTGAGAACTTTTAACAAATGGTCATGTGAAAGCAGCGCCTTGATATTATCTATGGCTTTTCTATCTACTGGATAGTGTTTAGTTAATCTTAATACAATTTTAACTTCAGTTTTATGAGTGATATCGTCCTTATATCTGGTTTTTCTAAAGAAAATAATTTCCAGCTGTTTGAGATACTCTCATTTAATAAGAAAAGAATAGTGAGTGTGTGAGAATTACAAAACAGAGTTTCGATTATAACCAGCTTGCTGGATGAATGACCTGAGGCTAATATCACAAGCACTTTAAAAAAAATGTACAAACAATATTATCAAAAAGGGAGTAATTTGAACAAAAAAACAAACAAAACAAATATCTACCTGCACATACAGTGTACTTCTTTATACTAAAATAAGCAAGTTTTAAATTTTCTGATTTCATCTTTATGGTATGATGACCTAGATTGAAGTTCATCTTTATTTGCCTATTCGTATGTTTATGGTCTCCGCCTTTGCTTTCCACTTATTCACTTTATATTCAGTCTTACCTGTTTCAATAGCCAATAATTCTCTTAGTTGTAGGAGTAGCAGCTTCCATCACTCATCAAAATCCAATGGAAAGTTACTAAAAATCCTGTAGTGATTAAGTTTGTCCCTTTTAAAGATCTTCAGCTATGCATATCAACTATCCAATGCTAAATCAAACCAACAGTCATCTGGTCTTGTGCAGATAACCATGAAATTCGCTTATTGAATGAGAATTCTGTGTTTTATATATATCTCAGATATCAGTAAAACGAATGATTGTAGTTGTCGAAATAAACGTCAATGATATTTCTAACATTTAGTCGTGAATTACTCAATGGAAACTAATAATTCGCTGTGTTCAACCATAACTTTATTACTCTATATACGAGAAAAAATAGTCACTTTTGAAATTTGGTCTCAGATTTTTTCAGTTCTGAGCTACATTTTATAGTTGTTTGAATTAATTCCACCAGCGCATTTAAAACCTTCAGGCTACCTAAGGCTGGATCACAAGCGGATATCAGTTAAAGAATCCCTGAAAAACAGGGAGTACTGGAAAGCTGTTTTGCCCTACTTTGGGACTTCCCACTACCCCATCTGGGATTAAATCCAGGGCTTTCAGGTTGCGATGCAAAGCCCGTTGATCATTCAGCAATTAGGACGGAAACCAATGACCCATCAATTCTATCACGTGTCAGTTCACTATTCAAGAGCATCAGCGCCACTGGGCGCGAGTCGCAGCTTGGGGGCCCTGAAGTGGAACCCCAATCAGTGTGTACTTCTGGAGAGTCCCAAACAGAGCAAAACAGCTGTCCAGTACCCCCTGTTTTTCAGTGATTCTCCAACTGATCTAGGCCCATGATCTAACTTAAACCCAATCAAATCCCTACAAACCAATAGTTTTAGAGATTCATTTTCCGTTTAAAATTTGTAAACGCCTTGCTAATGAGTGACAAATTAAGGACAAAGTTTCTGCTGATTCATTTCTACCATTCAACACCAAAATGCAGCCTGCAGCAGTAGTGTGTCACTAAGCACAGGTACTCTACGACAACACTTCAATCACCTTTTTTTGGTTAACTCTCAGAAAGAAGAAATCACCAACTCAGAATCCTATGGAGAAGTTCATCGATTTAAGCTTTTACATTTTAAAATGACTTGAAAATATTGTTAAAATGTAGAGGAATTGTACGACATGAAAGAAACTCTAAAATAAATGATTAATTTTTCTAAAAACCTTTCTTCATCTTGTGATCCCAATAGTATGGGTCCTATGATTAGTTAGTTATTGTTTTCAGAAGTAAGTGTACATAAAAATTGTTTATTTTATAAAATCTGAAAGAAATTACCTGTTGTATCCACGTTTCAAACGGGAGTTTCCATCTTTGAGGTTGTTGGTCATGGAGGTATGCATTGAAAAGGATCAGAAAGAAGTATTTCTCTAAATAAGCTAAACTTCTTTTACGAAGCTTCAATTTCTTTTCTTGATTAATTTCATCTCTTGCCTTGGAATATAAAAGGTAATATTTAGAGATATAGTTAGTCGTGTAAGTGAATCTGAAGCTGCAATTTTTTATCAAGTTACAACTGTCTGTATTATTGCAGTCATTAAGGTCACTGGATCTTCTTACAGACTACACTTAGTTTTAAATCGATCAGCTATTTATTTGATTATAGTATTGAAGTTGATCGCTATCGAGTAACCTATGTAAATGTTTGCTAATCTGTAATGGGATACTACATTACTAAGAAACGTTTAATGCTTTCATTTGATGCCAGACATTAGAAACTAACTCCACTTATTAGATATTATGAAGTGATTCTCTCTTCTTTATGTGTCTATATTTATGTAATAGACCTAGTAAGGAAAATTACTGAATATAAGCTTCTGTATGTTTTCATACAAGTTAGTAATTGACCAACAGATAGTATTGTGGTGAGAGCAAGCTGCTAGCCAATTGGTAGACATTGATCTACGCTGATTGGTAGAAATTAATCTAGGCTGATTCAACAACCGATCACAGCTGACCTAGACGTGGACAAATATGATTCGCAGACAAGTGGCTCGCATTTCCGAGAAATATCGAAAACGAGAAAGCAGAAGACTGCGTTTGTTTGCAAACAACCAATCAGAAGACCGCCTTCTTTCTGCGGGCAGAAGCCTATTAATGTACGTAAAATACATATAAATACCTGTTGGTTTTCGTAATAAAACTGATCTGTTGCCTGGCCCTTGTCTTCTGTTGTTACAGTATTACATTTTTAAGAAACTGACATGAAAGTGCATCAAACTAAAGTGTGAATATTATGTAACTAGACAGGGAAGTGTTCTATATTAATAGTAATATTATCTTAAAAACATCTTCGTGCATTGATCATTTTTAGCAACATGCCTTAAGGGATGTCCAAAGGCCTGGCTGCAGTAATCAGTAAGTACTTCTCACTCAAGTGTCCTACTGTTTTAGTGACAATCCTCTGGTGCCACTCACACTGGTGCTAAAAATGTCCACAAAAAAGCTGTTCAGTTATCTGTCATTCCATACAAAATGACAGCTTTGGGAAGAACACTCTGTAAGTATGTTGTTTTAATAGTTGTCTTTAACCTTGTGTCACTATGACATGTCTTCTTCGAGTGAAGCAACTAATCAGGATAAATGTAATCAGTTAGGGAGAGTATGAACGTGTGAATTTACTGCCTCAACAGTAAGGGTTCATTATTACAATAATCTGCACTTTGACCTCTTTTATCCTGTGTAACAGCTGAAATTGATGCTACACTACTGTGCTGGATTTCTGCAAGCTATTAACGACCAGTTTGCACAGTCAAAGATTCATATGAAATTTTAAGCATTTCTATAGATGAATGTTGTGCACATATCTGTTGAAAATTTGTGAACACATTAGTTCACACTGAATGAAAAAGATTTTGTGTATAGTAAAATAACGAAATTCATTAGGGAAAAACTATTGAAAGAGTATAAACAAGGCATATGCAACATTTTAGTCTGTTATCAGTTTATATCACTTTGTGTAGTTCTGAAACATACCTTCACATATGTAAAATAAATCTCCTCCCTTGTATGAAAATGCATCATTGACATGGATTCATAACATCTATCTAGCACATAGTCAACTTCACGTTTTAACTGATGGCCTCTAGGTAACATACGAATTAGTCTTCCAATAATCTGTAATTGTAGAGAAAAAAAGACACTGTCAGCCAGTGAATAATATCGAAATCTTACATTTAAGAAAAGGAATATAAATAAACATGTTATGTGACATAATGTACACTTGCTGCCCTTCTTTTTTAAAGATAATTAAAGGGATCCATTTGTTTTGTTCGGAAAAAATCAATGACACTTTTCATTTCATTTAAATGTCAGTTCCTCACTAAATTGAGTAGGCCGCCGAATGACATCGCACTCCAGACCATCACTTGAGTGGAATCCAAATGGGAAGCGATGAGTGGGTCGTTGGTGTAAGGGTGACATGGAGGAGATCGTGTGAGGAAGAGATGAGAGAGTTTGATGAATCGTGGACCCAGGTGAAGAGGACGGCAGAAAACAGAACAAATTGGAAAATTCATGATTATTCAAACCTATATGGCCAAGGTAATGATAATGTCTGAACTAACTTCTTTTGGATGCATAAATTAGGCTTGTTAATGTGGATCCCCACAGCCTCAGCAACATTTAGTAGTCTAACTCTTAATGCAAAATTGAGATTCGTAGGTATGCGGTAAATGACCCTGAAAGCGTGGTTAACATCAATCTTGTGTTTTGTGTTCACATTATGAGACAGAATAGCTCTGTGGATAGATTTTGTTTGTCCTTTGCTTAACCAGGCAGGGTGATGTTCGGAAATTCGACGAGAAACACGCCTAATTGTACGGCCTATGTAACTGGCAGTTAAACTGGCAGATACACATGGAAGAGGTGAAATTAGGCAGTTTGTATTTTACTCCCGAATGCAAAAGAGGAGTGGTTTTGAAGATACGGCGTAATTCTGCAGCAAGGAATTTTCTTTTTACAGCATTTCTAAGGCGCTGTGTTAGTATCTCGCTGGTATTGTCCTCAAGGAACTGCATTTGTAAGAATAAGGCCTTTTTGGAACTGTTGGTAACTTGGGTTGCTTTGGTTTTAGATTCATATTCTTATCAATAAACTTTTCAGGATAACCATTTTCACTCAGCAACGGTGAAATATTATTCAGTTCCTCATCAAGACATTCCTCCGATCAGATTGCTCTTGCTCTGTGAACCAAGGACTTTATCAGACTGCATTTGTATTTCAAGGGCACGAAGCAGAGAAAATGAGTATACTGACCCGTTGATGTTGGTTTTCTATATACAGTTCTTCTTATTGTGCCATCCTCTTTTCTAGGCATAAGGACGTCTAAAAATGAAATACTAGAGTCTTTTTCATTCTCAATAGTAAAATTTATTGCAGGATGAACATCGTTAAATTTATCCAGGATGCTGTTTGCTTCCCTCTCATTTTTCATAATCAAAAGTGTGTCATCCATGTACCGACAATAGAATTCGAGTTCATTATTAACATCCTTCAAAGGCCCATTTTCTAGTTTCGCAAGGAAAATGTCGGCTAGAATGGGTCCTAGTGGTGACCCCATTGCCACACCGGCGATTTGTCTATATAGTTCCGTATTAAATAAAAAGTGGACATTCATTGTACATCTCAAGAGAAGCTCTTTCATAAAAGATATTGGAATACCAACATCGATGTTTCGTCTTTTGAGTTCTTCGCTTACAAAGTCCACTGTTTCTATAAGTGGTACATTGGCGAATAAGGAAGACATGTTACTGAAGCCCTATGTTCCACTCGGAAGGCAAAGGAATAATAATAATATTATAATACTCACAGAGACGTGATGAAGGACAATCACATTTCCTATTACATGCAAAAGACAACTAAGTACCTACCACTTACCACCTATAAACGTTACATTCATCTTATGGGTTGATTTCGTCAAAATGAAGTTGTAGAATTTTATATCACAATTTCTTTCATATGAAATTAAGATTCAGATCAAGTAGATAAACTGTTGACTTTGTGCAACTTCTCATGTGGTTGAATACAGAAATATTTCCTTTCACGAGAAAATGACTAATTAGAGTAGTACAGTTTGAAAGCAATAAGTTCACGAGGCTACTGGAGTAAGTCAGTAGACCATATCTGTTGTCACTCGTCACTAATCAAAAATTTACTTATATAGGATATTAATTAGTCTATTAGAATATGCACTCATCTATTTACTTAAGTAAAAAATCTTCTGTAGACTTCCACTGTGAAATAATTGTATTATCTCATTTTATTCCAATCACCATATTATACATATTGTATGAAGATAATAAGCAACCAGTAAGGTAAGCACCAGTCACTCACTATCAATGGGAGATATTTCAATATGAGGTCATTGCTCTCATTTATCTATGCAGCACTGTTTTAAATATAGGAGACACAGATGAAGATATCAAAGGTATGATGGGAAAGGCAACGAAGATCTTGATTACTCTGAAATAAATGTGGAAATCTGATGCGTTCAGCATCAAGAACGAAGCTCGAACTTTCAGCACCAGTGTTAAGTGAGTTCCTGGATATGTGTCAGAAACTTGGTGGACGTATCATGAAAAGAAGACCTTTGTCAGCAGCTTCCTTCGCCAAATACTGAAGATCGGATGGCGACACACACTTCTTCATAAGTTTAGTTGTTCTAAATACCAATTACATTTAAGTGCACAGAGTGATCATGATTTGTTCAGTAAATGTCGTGTTGCCGATTTTTTTCTTTTGATAATATTCTGAAATGCATGAAATTATGACCTGTTGGAAAGTAACGAAAACACTTTTTTCACTTACAACGAATTCCCCTTTGGTATACTTGGCATCACGTAATGAAATACGTTCCTCTTCTTCAACTCGATAACCAAACATAAATCCAAATAGATGACAATATACAAGGCTAGCTATAGACATGGCTAAACTTGTTCGTTCACGACCATTTTCACAGAAAAACAATAAATTTGTTACGGACACCCTGATCAATAGTGCATTTGATGGACTTGGCAACTGTAAATCCTCTTTTAACACAGGATTGAATATAGATCGTCTTCCTGACCTGTGCAAGGAAGTTTGGCCATTGCAAGCATGTTTTAAGGATAGAGATGAATTTGCACTAGCCAGAAGACCACGAGCATTAGTAAGCATTAAACGAAGTATGTTATCGAAAATCTGCATAAAACATTATCAAAAGGCATTTTTTACAAAATCAGAATGCTTTTGGTATAAAAAAAATATATGAAACAAATAAAAAGACAAAAAACTCAATGGTATCTTGAAATAGAGTTTTTATGTGAATTTGACAAAAGTATAAATAACTGATATCACTGAATGGTTGGAACACTCGTGCAAGGTAATAATACTACACAGCAGTTCATACAGTATTCACTGTGTCATTCATAAAGGTGAGTTAATCAGGCCAGGGTATCTTCGGTCATTCTGATTTCATCCACCTGATCAAGAGTCCACCTTTTCAGCCACCTATTTATTAATATTTTGAAAACTTTGTGTTTTTCCAGGTAATAAGAATTTAAAACATGGAATTAACTACAAAATAATTCACAGTTTGCACACATACTAGATCGTCTTAAATATAAATAATCCTACGGAATTTGTAAAACAAATCCATAGTGTTGCACAGTGAACAGGTTTGTGCATAGTTCTGCCTTATATTTGTATTATATTTGATACTTATGTTGGTCATTACAGCAAACTGTATACAAGTTGCTTATTAATAATTTACCTAGTAAAATATTAATAATAATTTCGTTTTCAAGAGTTGGTTTGTAAGGATTAAATGTTTTTTACCGAGTTTGACCACAGACTGATATCAGTTAGAGAACCATTGAAAACCAGCCACAAGGAGTACTGCCAGACAGCTGTTTCATCCTAGTTTGGGAGTAACTGGCAGTACGCACCCACTGGTGTTTGAACCCAGGTCATCAGTCGGAAATCCGTCCTCAAACTTGACATTGGTTGATGGTCACGCTAAATCACGAATTGGTAGAAGTTAGAATTCATGGGCTGGCCATTGTAGTGGGTCCCAGTGGCTGAATGGTATACGAGCTTGCCTTGTAAATGGAAGGTCCTGGGTTCGAAATACGGTGGCCGCGGACTGCCGATAAGTCGCAAAGTAGGACGAAACAGCTTTTCAGTGCTCCCTGGTTCTTAATAGATTCTTAATAGTCCTCTAACTGATATCAATCCGTGGTCAAACTTCAAATGAATGAAATCCCCAGAAATTAACTCTTGAAAATTAGAAAAGTTGTAATTTGCAGATCTGTAGCAAGGACGGAGTCAAGATTTAGTGGCAAGTGACTTTTTCTAATAGAATATAGCACATCATTTTGAACAGACTATTTTAATCACCAAATTTATTTATTGCTTTGCCGTTTTACTGACGGAAGTTGACTTTGCCATATTTTATAAACTAAAAAAAGCAATTTTATTCTTATCCCAAATAACTGTTTTCAGTAGTTCAACTAAGGTAATTCGAAAATATTTTATTCGAAGTTAACTACTTAATGAAATTCATCTATGGAATGTGATGAAAGATTTGAAGTAAGAAGTATTTATTATTATTATATTATTATTGTTCCCTTGGGTTCCTAGTGGAACATAGGGCTTCAACTGCACGCCTCCACTTTCTTCTGTCTTCTGCTGTACTTTTCACCTGCGTCCATGTTAATCCATACTGTTTCAGTTCCTGTTCACACGATCTCCTCCATGTCACCCTTCGACGTCCCACTCACCGCTTCCCTTTCGGGTTTCACTCGAGCTATGGCCTCACGCGCGATGTCACCCAACGGCCTCCTCAGCGAGTGTCCAATCCATCTCCACTTTCTCCTGCAATTTGTTGGGCGATTGGTTCTTGTTTTGTTTGTTCCCATAGCTTCTTGTTTGTGATTCTTTCCGGCCATCTGATCTTCAGTATAGAACGAAGACAGTTGTTGATAAAGGTCTGCAACAGGCTGTTGGAAATATTCTTTGTCACCCGCCAAGTTTCTGATCCGTATAGCAAAACTGACTTGACGTTTGTATTGAAAATCCGAATTTTGTTGTTGATGCAAGCTGAGTGATGAAGATTTCCAGATTGGTTTCAGGTTGATGAATGTGTTTCTCGCCTTCCCGATTCTCGATTTGACATCCTCGTCCGTTCCTCCTGTGGTTGAGACAATGCTCCCTAGATAAGTGAATGGAGCAACCTCTTTCAAATCCCTCCCGTTGATGGTGATTGGCACTGAATGTTGCTGCTGTTGTTGTTGTTGGTTGTTTATTTTCATAACCTCCGTCTTGTCTATGTTCACCCGCACTCCTGTCTTTGCTGCTTCTTCGACCAGTTTGTCGGTTTTCGCTTGTAAGTCTTCGATTTTGTGTGACATCAAACATAAATCATCCACGCGCGAAATCCAGGTCTTCTAGGTTCTTCACATCGGTCCAGGATATCCCTGTCTTCTCATTTCCCACTGTCTGACGCATAATCCAGTCCACCACAATTAGGAATATCATTGGTGATAATAAGCACCCTTGTCTGACTCGCCTAGATTACTAGGTCACTAGTATTCTAGCCGGTCCCAAGCCCAGATAAAGAGGGAGGTTTGGGGTGTGGTGCTAGCAACTCCACCCCCAAAACTTAACCAAATTGCTACAAAAACTTCAACGCACAAACATATTGGCACATAAGCATATATCTCTCTTTACAGCCTTAACCAAGTTTATGCTTTGATATTTATACTCACTTAATAAAAGAAGTATTTATTAAGTGAGTATAAATATCAAAGCATAAACTTGGTTAAGGCTGTAAAGACAGACATATGCTTATGTGCCAATAATAAACACAAAAGTGTAAAGTTTAAATTACTAGTTCTTCATACATGAAAAAAACAACAACAGATTAAGTGTATTTGAATTGTGGATTTAATTTGAATGGCTTATAAATTAGGTAAACGTTTATTACCCTAGAAACCGACAAAGAAACAGAGATACAAACTGCGAATTGAAATTGTCTTCCAGTTGTCCATTGGAACAGGTACAGACCGGCCTAACTGCATAATCGACTTGAAATGGAGAGGGACTGATAAGCAAAAATTATCAGATTCTAGCTTAGCATTCACTATTCATAAGCATTAGAGAACGGATGCAACATATAACCTAGAACTAGCAGCTTCCGTACCTCGGAAACCAGCGGCTTATTTGCAGCAAATTGATAGCACAGCAGTTAGGACTCTCGCCGACCATCCACATGGTCCGGGGTTCGATCCCCTGCCGACGCACACCTGATATCTATGGTCGGCCTGCAAAATTTGGGCTACCGATATCATATGCTGAAAATTCCATACTTGTACCAAAAATACTGTGTGGTTTCAAGCTATAATAAAAAAACTTAAAAAATTTTAAAAAAGTTGTTTCATAATTCCGTTGATGAGAATTTGTATACTACTGGCTGTAGCTTTGCACTGTAAACTAAGAAATAGCTTGTATTTATGTATGTATACGAAGATATATAAAAATATTTGTGATACTGGTGAAGACAAGTAAGCTGAGTCTTGGTACTTCCAGCATAACGTTTTTACAACGTCGGAAGAGCTGACGTTCAAATAGATGTTAAAAATTACTTTGCCCAACATCAGAGTGAATAAGGTCATCATCTTTGTGATTTGGTCGTGTCCTCAGCGTAAGCTTGCGCTGAAGATGTTGTCTAGGAGGGCAGTGAAAGCCTCGTAATTAAATCAACCATCTCAGAGAACACACTTAAATCAAAATCATCCACTTTGGGCTACAAATCTCTACTATTTCAAAGGTCAACATCTGTTTTTTTGATGTTGAATAAGCAAGAGCAATATCCGCATTACATGTCTGATAACTAAATTTCACTCAGCATTTATACCTATGAAAAAGTGGTTAAAATGATTTTTATACAAATATGTAGGAATTATAATGGAATAAACAGTATTTCCGAATGATTGATATTATTTTGGGAAAAGCTAACAACCAAATTTTTCAAAAGTTTCTTGAACAACCTACATAAATATATGGTGTGGGTATATGCTCTTAGAATAAATCACTCGTAGATAAATGCGCTTTTATATTTTTCTTTTTATACTAATAGACATATTTTGCAACTAGGTGAACACAACAGCTCATCAGATGAACAAAACTGGTTCACGCCCAGATCGGGTAGGAAAAGTTTTTAGGCAAAAAAAAACATTTTCAATTCTGACATGTATATGCATAAATATATATTAAAGTATCAGAGAAATAATGAAGCCAGTCGATAGTTAGGCCGGTATCAACAGGCTAAATGTTGGAAAATAGAAATAAAATGCAAACATAATAATGAATCGAAAAATAAATACTGAATAGTTTTAAAAATAACAATGAAATATCTGATTTTAACGTAGAGGGTAATGACCGTAGTAGGACAATTTATTCGATATAGTAAACGGTAATATAATGTTATTCACTAGTGAAAAACTGAGAGCAGTTTATAGCTCACAGTCATATTAAGGTAGTTAGTTTAATACATTGACTTTTCATTAGGCTGTGATGAAAATCTTTTTCGTATCTATTCGATCATTGTTGTGTCATTTATATCGCAGGCATGTTAAGTTGATGCTATAAACAGAGATTCAGTGATCACACTATTCTCTCTACCTGACTACATAGCTTCTCACAACTTTTTCTCGATCTCATTAGACTATGCGATTGCGTCAGCACAAGTTTATCAATAGTGAAGAAGTTTTGTTTTAATTTTTCAAAAATGAGTTCTACAGGTAGATTTCATCATCAACTATTATCCCTGAAAGTAAAAGAACAATGGAGAACTACATTAAATCTACTTTGGAAACTAGTCAAAATCCCTACGAAACCTGAAGTTTCGTCATCAGTGTCCTGCTAATTAGTGGCTACGGGAAAGATATTCTGGGATTTTACTTAGTAGCCATGGCAGTCTGGGACCACCATGCAAACTGTGAAACTGAGGCTCATTTTTGGCACATTTTATTCGTAGCTCCATATTGGTGAAAGTCAGAATTTTCAAGTCACTGGATTCAAACAGGAGGGCTAAATGGTTAAGGGGTTCACTTGGCGACGTGAAGTTCATTGATCCAGTCGCTAAAAGGATCGTATTTAGTTGCTGCTCAACTGCTCCAAACCAAAGCTGAACTAATGTCCAGTGCTGCCCAATTTCATCAGTGCTTTTTTAGGTCTCAAAACCAACTTTGAAAATTAATCAGAATTACTACACAGCTCAATATTTGAATTAAAAATAAATCTGTACTAACAGCTGAAAGCTTATTCATGGATTTATGTCAGAAGAATGCAAACATCAAGTATTGTCTGATACAACTGTTACCAAGTTGTGGTTCAAACCATTTGTATTTATTCAGTGTGACGGATGAGAATGAAGTATAAATCTAAGTCGCCTCTGCACTAACTGCCAAGCTGAGTAAATCATTTTCTAATCAGGCCATGATTTCATTCCAGACATTAAGAGTCTTACTATGCTGTCATATGGATGACTGATACGTAGCTCCTTGTTCAGCAGCATACTAACTGCTAAATCTTCCGTCAGTTTCAGCCATTTCATTCACAAATTCTTTTACAGAATTTCAATAAAAAAAATAATAACGACAATTAGAGCGGGATAAAGCAGATGAATGTTATTTCGATGGTACCTTGTCTTCTGCTAACAATCTGCACCGCTCCTTATAATCTTTAGAGATAATAAAAATAAAACAAACAAGCTCGAATCTCTTCGAGTTTGGAGGGGCTTTATCTATCGAAATACAAAAGTAAGAATTATGTACTGAAAAGAAAACTATAGTTAATCTTTGTCTACCTTAGTAACTTGCAGTTAAGAAGACAATGACGAAACAGAATGGGCCATTTTATCCTGCTCCATTTACTGTTACTACTTTGTTTAAGGTTTAACCGAAGTGAACTTGATAGAAGGAAGCAGACTGTTAATTCTGTGTAAGACTATCTGTCATACCTTTACGCCAACAAACTGACATTGCCACAATAATTGAAATCGAAGTGCAAACCTGAGTGCTTGTGTTATACTTTGAATAAAGACGACATTAAATGGTTCATGTTGAATAATAGTGACAATGAATTCTAAGTGAATTCTAAATAAAGTAAGGATTATTGTTTAGAGTAAATTTCATTTTGCCTGAATGTGAATGAATTTTAATGCAAATATCAGTGACTGTAAACTAAGAGGAAGTTTACGTGCGTTATTAATATTAATGTGAATGCATGATCGCAGAAAGGCATATTATTTTTATTTTTAAAAAAGGTTGTTTGTGCAGGTGTATGAATTAAATTAATTTGATCAAGAAAATTAAGGATATAGGGATAAATTTATGCAACACGTCAAAAATATGGGATTCTTTAGACTAGCAAACAATGCTTCAGATTTGGAAACAAGATGTGCTAGGTCCCAGACTCATTGACAACATCGTCACTCACTGGGTTATGTGTACGTTCAGTTAGTAAGTCCCAAATAGGAAAAATCCAACGCCTTGCATAACTCTGCTGGTCACCATCACCCACATAACAATCATGGTGTTTGATAGTTAATAAAATCCGGAATTAGCTTGAGTAGCAGTAGTGGCTGAACTTGTTTCAGCTGTTTTCATTGGTCCATCATATTTTTAGTAGCTAGGTAATTCAATGCATAAGGGGTTTCGGTAATTTTTTGGGCAAACGACGGATGATAGAAAACAGCTGATGCAATATCTGCCTTTGCTATCTGCTTAGATAAGGTGTGTCAGCATCGCAACATTATTACTTCCTTTTACTCTCTTGCTTAGCCACATAATTAGGTGATCAAAGGCATGAAAATTCAAGTTAGTCAAGCAACAATCAACAAAATTGCTCTACAGGTGTGGTTGAATTGGCATTTAGGCTGATATCAAAGAGTAGATTGCTTAGCTATTCCAATATGTAGGATAATCAGTGAACTCACATTTGGACATATTTATCTTAATCTCTCTGCATAGGCTAATAACACGCCATATTCCCTCAACCTAGTAAGACAGCAAGAAGTAGATAGCTAGGCTGGCACTTTGTATTCGGGGATTGATTATAAATAGGCGTGTAGAACTATCGGTTTGAATATGCTGACATTAAAAAATCGAAACATATTAGAAAATAATTCATTTTAAACACCAATCAAAATTGGTCGCTACTGTGTATGTAGTCCATTGTAAATTATGTTACTTTATATACAGTTCGTTGTTGCATTTCTATAATATCATCCTCCGTAGGCATGTTTTAAACTCTACTGTAGCAACAAGTAGTCTATTTGCACAAACTCAGGTTTTTGTTTTGTCGTCATTCTTCATATACTATATCGGTATTAACACTTTAAGCTTCATCTCGGCAATGGTTGATTCAAACATTGTTCTTAGTATATATCTACCTGCTGTAAGACACTGATTCTTTGATCTTAAAGAATCAATATAATAAAAAAGCTTACTGCTGTAAATAAATTTTTATTTTATAATTAAAATGGACATATGACTGTAGTACTAGAGGAAGTTATGGTTGTGTGCTCTGAGTCTGGTTGTCTAATATTTTTTTGTTATTCCTGAATAAATTACAAATGGTTTGAACCACAACTTGGTAACAGTTGTATCAAATATTATTTAACGTATGCATTCTTCTGACATAAATCCATGAATAAGCTTTCAGCTGTTAGTACAGATTTATTTTCAATTCAAATATTTTTTTTTATTCCTTGACGTTCCCAATGGAACATAGGGCTTCAAGCTAGAGGCTTGAAGTTTCTGTAGCAGTGTTTATTTTTACAGGATGGGGTTGCTAACCTCATGCCCAACCTTTCCTCTGCACCAGCCTTAGTTCTGGCTTAGCGAGGTAAAGGAATGCGTCGGTCGGGAATCGAACCTCGGACCATGTGCATGGTTGGCGAGCGTCCTAACCGCTATATATGGTTGTCTAATTGGGAAACTTTTATTATCCATCTAGGCAACATCATCAACGCCTACTTTAATGTAGACTGAATGTTTTAAATTTTCCATTAATGGTATAACTGTCTGCATTATTTCCGAATAATCTTACTATAATCAGTGGTTTAAATCATATTAAAATTTTCGGACAACTTGATAAATTTACTGAATCGGACAGATATGATCCTGAAGCTGGAAAAGCTTGTCGTCTGGTAAATTCATAGTTGTCAGTGTAGCTCTGATTCCTCCTTTATTGTGAATAACACTGTCTTAACATGGAATTATACTTTATCATGGAGTCAGATTTCTACTCTTATGTATTAATCCAGGACTGATCTGCAAGCAAAGAAAGATAAGTCGAATGTAGGAATAGAACTTAGGCACTGTGGTGACAACGTCACAATAGAAGTGAACTGTTGGGATCCAACATATATGCGCAATTCCTAGTGACCGGATGAGACATAATGGAGTAATTTAAGCTGGTTTTCGAAGGTACTCATTCGTGAATAAACGCTAGGACGTTGGATCTTTGGTAGTTATCATTATTTAATATGATTAACATAGCAGTGAGATGATAGGAAACAGAAACGAAACAGAATCTCAGAAAACTTACAGGCGGAGGTGGCTGACTATAATGTGGTAGTGGGATGCGGTGATATTCTGCATGTTCGTTTAAATAAACTGCATATGAATCAGGAATTTTGTCAAACACGGAACTATGTGTTGAAGTAGCGTCTAATGCACTACCATTTGAACTATTGTTCACTGTGTTAGATGGATCAAACGCGTGCTTAAACATTTGTTTTAGGCTTAAAACTTCCGGTTTTTCTCCAGATGAGCTAATATTCACGGTTGATAAATTACCATTGTCATTCACTTGGTATAATTTACACGGAGGTTTAATCTTTCCAACTGCCTGTGTAAATTTATGTTCCATCTCCTTGAAAATAAAAATCAAATAAAGCAAGAAACGTCGTGATATTAAATAATACTCAGTGTAGAATATGACAAACATTAATTCTCTTTACTTTCAGCTGAAGGACATGAATTATGTCTATAAGGACTCCTTAAGACTCACATGTAATAATTTGTAACACTTCGTTATTGGACAAAACACTTCGTTCAGTCTAGTGATTGTTCTACAGTCTGAAGAAAACTCAGTTTGATGTTTTCAGTTCAGTTCAGCAAATTTTAAATGGCTTATTAGTTTTCTTTTCGTTAATGACTACTCTAATTTCTCAGACATGTCGCAATTTTATGAATGCGTTGTTATTATTCTTTCATATTCTGAGCTGAATGCAATGCAGTGTAGTCAGCTTTAGAACTGAAAATCTCACCTCTAATACCCTTTTAATTTTACCTACTGAATAGAAATATTTTCACTCATTTCTAAAATGCATGACATAGCTTTCAGCTGAGGTTAATTGGTCGTAATAAACCAGGGTTTCGAGGCCTCCAAAGCCTCAGGATGGTCGGGGTGGGTGCCTTGCGCTGCGGGTTGGCCACCCCTCCGCACACCTCTTGAAATGCTCCCATATGACCGGGCGTCTTACATAGCCTCTCCTGAGGAAGTCCTACTCACTGCCTTCACGTGGCGGAGGTGTTTTTCACCAAAGTGAGAGGGCGAAAGCGGATGCCCGGCGCTCTTCACCGGGTTGACTGTCCATTGGATGACAGTCTAGGGGAGATGGCTAAACCCTGATTCCAAACCTCCAACGACTGGCGTATGAAGCTCACTGGAGCTCACCGGCAGACGTATGGACAAAGGGCTTGTTGGATGTCCTGGATGTCTGGCCCCATTCAAAAAGGCGTATGAACCGAACTCCGGTCACCGGCTGCCAATGGATATTGGACTCCCTACTCCACTCCTACTGCCTTGTAGGTCACATTTGGTTGTGTAAAGGCTAGAGCTGCACTCTCAAACAAAAGGCCGAGTGATTCTGGGGACATCACTCGTACCAAATTCCCATGAAACTTCATGAACTCTCTTACAAACGAGGTACAGTCAAGGCTGATATGGAGTGCCTGGGGCTACAAACCGTCTACGGACTCCGTCTGTGGAACGAGAATTGGACAACCCTGTCTCATTAAACCTTGCATCAGATCGCCGCGCCTGGACAGCGATGATTCGAGATGTTCATGAAGCCGGCTCATTCTCTCGTAGGAGATAGGCGAAGTAAAGCAAAAAAAAGTAAAAGGGTTTCGATGGACTGTATGCTCTCATCATTATTTTGAACACTTTAAATGATTTTTTTTCACATTCGGTTGACTTCTTTACATCCAGCATTCCAGAGATAAGGTAAATGGGTGATGTTCAACTTTGCTAATATTTAACAAATAATCAGTAGACTTTGCGAACAGAAGAATTCTTGGGAGTGTTTGTTATTATTGGCAATTCTTCACGGGGACCAAATGATTTCAAAAGTCTTTCTTGAGTTTTTCACTTTTTTTTCTCATCTACACTTTGAAATATAAAAGTAATCCCCAAGATGAAAGCGTTTTAGAAACGCAGTGGCAATGGAAAATAATGTTTAATTCATATTTTGTATTATGCCATCTTAGCCTTCTCTTATTTAACCTGTATCAGCCAGTAAACATTTCTACGCACTAGGTGTTTGCGCAAGCCGAGGTGTGATTTTAGTGGTACAAAACTTGTAGTGGCTCATTTGTGGACATTATTCATTTCAGAAGAAGAGTGGTATTAGGTGAATTTTAAAAGTTTGCAGTTATTTCCCACTGTATCAGCTTATGCGATATGTCATCGTTGATTATTTTACGTGACATTCTAATCACCCAGCTGAAATTTAACAGCTTCAGTTCTAAGAAACACCAAGCAACAGAGTTGCTGAAGACAGCTAATAAAGTATCAGAGTATTTTTGGGTAGTGAAAGGTGTTCAATAGTTTTTCAATTGACTAAACTGCATCCGTGTTATTCCATTTACCAAAAATCAAACTGTTGAATATTACCTTAAATTTTTGAAAAATCTTCAATTTTTAGTTAATAAGCAATTTAAAACAAACCTCAAGTTCCATGCCACTGACACCTCGCAGTAGAATAGGGTCTTCTGGTTTTCGTTTTGATCTCCAGCTACATGTTTCTCCTGCGTATTTAATTACATAATCGTCACGTAAACATATCCATATCATTTGAGGCATTATAACAGCATAACTGTTGGTATCCCTACTATTTGAGGATTTTTCTGATCCCCTTTTCGATACAGATTCAGTGATTGGTCTGACATTTTTAAGTGATATATCCCAATAAGCTTTTGTAAGTACATTGTGCATATTGACGATACCTTTTGTATCTGGTTGACTTGACCCATAAATTGGTAGTCCTGCTAATTGACGAAAATTATCCAGGCCAGTTATTCGTCGTGTACTCAATTCGTCTATATGAAGTGAGCTATCTGTGACCTGTGAAACAATGTGTGAAGCTTAAACATATGATCAAGTATAAAATAAATACACTTCCATGCAATTTAACCCCATGATGAACTTAAAAATGGTGAATAAAACGAATTTTATTCTTTTGAATCTGGTCAACTGCATATACCCTGAAACAGTTTCAGTATTAAAATATCCACATACTTTAATTATATGGTTGGAAGGTGGAATGGAACCATTAATATGACAGGGATCATTACACGCGAAGTTGAAAGGAATGAACTACAAGCATAAGTAAGCTTATTGGTATATATATAAAAGTTACAAAAATGTTGTCGAGTCAGGAACCAAAATTAGATTGAGTATGCCAGTTTACTTGTACATATCAAAGCACATACATTAGAAAATTAGAAAGAAGAATTTTTGACCGTATATGTGAGTACGCTTCAAGGAACTGACAATCCCCCCTGTAGATAATGGCCATGAAACTGACGCTTGAAAGTCATTTAATATAATCTAGTTCCGAACTACTAGATATCATGGCAGCGGCAGAGACTACAAGTCAGTACACAAATTGTGCATTCAGAGGGAAAATTTCATCAATCTTAATAACCTTACTAATACTTGTTGTTCTTTTCTTTCAGTTTGTCGTTTATTAAATTCCATAATACTGTAACAGCAGAAGGCAAGACACGGAAGTAAATGTATGTTTCCTATCGATCAAACAGTTATTTATATCTGTACAGTTTATATTCTTTAGGCAATCACTGAGCGTGTGATTTTGGTATACATTTAACGACATGAAATAGAATGTTCAGATTCACGTATTATTCTGCTGATAATGGAGTATTGAACTGTGAGAAAGGTACTCTGCCTCTAACAGCAAATAGAATATTCACATATATATGGTATTCTGTTGCTTATGCAGAAATGAACTGTGGGAATACATGGGAATAGTATTCCGTTGGAACACATTATCAGTATCACAACACCACAAACTATTGATTCCCACCTTCCAACTAAATAATTTAGGTATGTAGATATTTTGATGCTGAAACTGTTTTCGATTGTATGCAGCTGACAAGTATTGACAACTGTTCACATAAGCTGGTAATAATTGAATTGGCAACAGATTACTGAAATACTAATATTCAATCTGTAAGAATTCATCCAACGACTCGAAACTCTGATTTCTCACATATGACTGTCTGACGAGTAACAGAAAGCGCTAATTATTAGTCAATAAAAGCTCCCAATTAGAAGTAATATATCACACTGGGGTAAAAATCAATTAGCTGCGAGAGAGAGAACTGCATTCCATTCGGCTGTCTGAAACTAGCACTTTATTCCTTTATCACCTGACATCCTCTTCATCATGACGGATCACTGAGCGTATTACATTAGAACTGGCATCAAAGCATTTTTAAACGAAAAAGGTTAGCTACAATTAGAGGACAATCAACCTAGTCTTAGAAGTCATCAAAACATTTTGTCAGTAAGTCGAGAGTTGTTCATTATCAAAATTTATGACTTACCAACACACGATGTTCATACTTCAACATGTCGACGGAAGCATACCATTCAGATACATCCAAAAAGTCCATAATTTGGTAAAGACGAGGTTGTTGTTTCATCCATGTTGAAAAGTTTTCACTAAACCGTACTTGTACCTAAACATTTTTTGAAAAAGAAAAGGAAAGAAGAAATAGAATGGTTAGTAACAGAAAGCGATTAAAGAGAAATTCAACTGGTCTTACCTGTTCTCGAAGGTATGCATTGAAACAGATTAACAAGTGATATCTTTCCATTTGATCAATAGCTTTTTCATACAGTATTTTACACATTGACAGTTTCTAAAAAAAAATAGAATATAATTATTTTATACAATAACAGTGCTCATTTTGAATTATTTGCTGAATCATCTCGAATCATGCTTTCAGCGGTATTATGAAAGGGCTTTAACTCGAACACACAATAGTTAAGGACAGGATTCCATGTTTTACTGACTGTCGTTAGTGAATAATTTTATTCACTATTATTTCACTTAATCTTATTTGTTTGTATGCTAAGTTTGTTCATTTAAGAAGGCTATATCCAAATCTTTAATGAAATAATTATGTATGTAATTAAAGGGTGTGTTGATTTCGGAATGATTGTTTCAGGAATAAAAAATCCACTTGTTGCCCAGTGAAAATAAAGAATCAGTGGGCGACTGTTTCTGTCCTAGATGGTGACACTCCACTAGCACGAATCGAAAACTTTGTGGTGTAAAAAGACCATGACTATTAAATTTCATTAAGAGATGGCTGTCGAAACATGAGACCGGGATGCAAAAAGATAATCGCCCAGCTAATTATTTGGGGATAAATTTTAAGAATTTTAATAAGGATTTGTAATTTGCACTGCTAACCACTCCTGTTACGTAGAAATTTACTCATCACAGGCATTACACTGTGGTCAGTTTAAAGTGTTCATGGAAAGGCCACATGCCTTAATAACTGATCGTCGGCTTACTTGCTGATAAATCCGATTGATTTAGACTACTTCTGTAAGTGTTTACTGTCAATAGGTCGATAGTGATACTAGTTCTTGGCAAAAGTCACTTTGAAATTAATCACACATAACTCTGGAGAATATAAATACGTAAAAATGAAACCTTCGACTATAAAGAAAGGAACTGGATGGTTAGTATTCTAAGGTCAGTACGTGTCACTGTTCTTTAAACTAACGAGTGTATTAACAAAAACGAATAAATTACCGAAATGTATAGTATCTGTTTGAAATCCAATGTTTAAACGTACAGATTTGGGAAGTATAAGTTTTTGTTATCTTCAGCAACATTTATTTGTTCCTCGGGTTAGTGACTGAAATGCAGTAACTGCAGGCAAACGTATCGAAATGCTTATACATATTAAAGTAGAAATCAAGAGAAGTCAAACAGTGAATACCCTACGCTTGTTGGCAGATATCAGAAAAGGATATCAACAACTTCGAGATAAATCATGCTCACTTCAAGATGTACAGTAGACCGACACTAACTAAAAAACAACTGTAAACCACGAGACGTTTATATCTGCTTTTTCCTTTTTATGATTATCTTATCAATACTGATCGTAAATGAAAATGGAGACATTGCTTTGAAATAGGTCATACTGTCCTATTGATACAAGAAGACCTTTCTGTCAGATCAGATGTTACAATTAAACGTAATACCCATACAGTTTAACTTTTTATGCCTATAAGGATAGAAATATAATAAAATGAGAATAGGAATAAATGATTTCTCCAAAGTGGCACTTGAGATCTGAAACAGAAATTTCCCAATCAGTTCAATCTTTTAGCTTCTATGGACAATCTTGACTATTAATACATATATAATAAAGTGGAGAGTGAGAGTTTTCATATATATATATATATTCAAAGATAAAACTGGATAAGTAGTGAACAATACCGCATAACAAACATAATATCAGTGGGGATAACTAAAAAAATTACTTGTCGCTTACATCACTTTCATCTGTTTCTCTAAGTTCGCCTAATTCAATGAGCGAATCCGTTATTTGTTCTCGTAAATTTATTGTATCATCGAAATCATCAATAGCCTGATCAACCTGGGTCAATTATGCAAAATAATAAGAAAAGATTTTTAAGTATGTGTATGTAAAATTGTCTCGTACTTCTCAATATCTCCCTCACCATCTAAGTAAATCAGTGTGACCTACAGAACCATTGATGAAACATGCTTTCGATTTCAGTGACACACAGAGCCTTTTTTCCTTTTGCAAATATTATTTTGTGAAAAATGGAAACTCAAGGACTGGAAGGCATAATAAACTACTGATACTATAAATTATGACGAAAATACGTTCTTCTTTCAGACATTTGTGTTCACCTCAAGCAGAATTACAATGTTAATTTTATGTAATAATTCTTCAGATTACCTTTTCCTTTTACTATTCTGTCATGTAATCATACTAGTCGAACTCCAACAGTCAGACGCTTCTAGTATAATCGAGAGTCTGTCAATAGCTGGTCAATTTATTCATCCAACACTGATCTTTCCAAACAGAACAACTGTGAATACTTGACTTGTGAAAGCATTAATGTTTTTATTTTGCTGTAAAGCCTGTAAATGTAGTTCACTCAAAAATTATCCGTTGTCACCAGTTCACATAAATTCAGTAAAACAAAATCAGAACTCTGTGAGATACTCTAGTTGGTAACCACTCTACTACTCTTCATTTGTAATTCAATACAATCTGAATGATGTTAGTGTAATGATGATGCATTGGCGGTTATGTACCACTCAATCATACGACACTCATACCAAGCCTTAAGAGAATAAAGATAAAGTTAAACCATGCCACTAACTCGATCTGGTCAAGCAGTTGTTAGAGCATGAAGCGAACGGTTTGAGATACATTAGTTATAACCACTACAATAACATCAATTTCATCATTCTAATATATATTCTAGTGATTTGGTTGAATTTTTTGCTACTCCATAGAAAAAGGAGTGAAGTAGCCGATGGGCGATTTCCCCAACACTCCTGAAATTTACCAATGAATTTCTTTTGTTGGTTGAAATATCTGTTCAGTCTTGTATTCTATCCTGAAATGGTTTCTCACTAGGTCAATAGGATAATCATTGGTTTCGAAAGCCACTGCTGTTAATTTCGCAATGGTGTGTTTCACTGCGTCGCTTTTCTTTGCACTTGAGTTTGTAAGACAAACTTCTGTGTTTTAATGACAAGGGATTCTAGAGACATCGTTTTGTTCTTTCTACCTCCACTGATAAGAGTTAGTGTCATTTCCAAATCATTTTGAGAATAAAAAAGGGAATAGTGGACACAGTCACCGTGATGGCTGGCTCTGAAATTCGCATCACATAAAGACATTTTTCCGTTCAAGCGTCGAGTTGTTGAATTAAAAGTTAAGAAGCAGTGTTTAACTACTTCGACTAAATGTATAGCAGTAATATTCATGTATTCTTCGACAAGCAGATCACTTCACCCACAGTTCAGAAGCGCTAAAGGACAGCAAAATTTCACAACAGTCTTCATTCGCCTTGAAAATATTTCACCATTCCATGTGATAAGTGCTGATGAAGTCATTTACTGACTGACTGACTGGTTTCAATATAGAAATTTTCACGGATGTGCTGCAGTTCGAGTTGTCACTCTCCGTCCTTGTAGCACACAAAGTAAGAGAAGAGAGTAGAGAGACGTCCAAAGGAGAGATAATAAACAGAATTGTGGCAGAAAAAGAATAGTAATATGGAAGAACAACAGACTTCTATTGGATATTAAATTTTCCAAAGATTGAATGCATCTACACCACTGAGAACGATTTTTAGCCATATCACCAATTGTCTCTATCCATCCATCCAGAGGACCCCAACAACTAAGGAAGTCTACAGATCCCGACGTAGTTCAAACTAACTCTTATGGATTTCATTGACTGATGCCATGTTTTGGTTTGATCACCACTGGCTGTTTTCCAACCTGCCCCTATGTCAGCTAACATTGCCCATCGAGGAAGGCGATGGCCAGGCATGCGTAACACATGTTCTGACTATCTCAATCGATGTAAACTCACAACCTCGCCAGTTGATATCCCCTCCCACCTACCTAGCACTCGACCAAAGCCTAACCTCAATATTGCTCACCCTATTATACCAATTCACACAGGAGATAGAACTCAGGCACCTATAATCAAAGACAGCTAGCCGGCCTTTTCGTATCTTCCGCTTTCAATGACTATGTCTCACAGCCATAAAGGAGGACGGAGCGAACTGCTTTGCAGTACATACGTCCTTTGGTCATTAAGCTTGATGGTTATAAATTCACAGTAAAACCTGGAAGGTCTCAGGACACCAAACAAGAATCACTGTCATATTACGCTTAAAGTCCTCTCAACCAGTTGATTTAAATTTAGTGACTACAGACTAAGCATATTTCACTGATTTCAACGCTGAGGTTCAATAATCTTTCGTCTCCCTCTGTTGGTTAACCGTTCCTATCAATAATATATGACTAATCTGTAATCGGTCAATATTCGTGATATCCTTCATAACTGTAACCACTCATATTACTTACTGCTACTCTATTGTAACTGTTGTTTCTATCAATGGATTCTTCTCCGTTTAATCCCTAATGAGATCATTGATCCCCACTGCTGAGCAGTTCCAGACTAAGACAAAACAGGTGACTAATGCTTCCTGGTTTCTAATGATTCTCTGCTGTCCCTTTGTGATATAAGCTAACTTCAAATAATAAGTGCGTTTGTTCACTATGAACAATTTTCTCGCTTGGATTGTGAACGGTGTTCTTTAAGTGAAATGAGCTCTTATTATCCTGTTGAACATTTTTGCTATGTATGTAGCGAGGAAGTGTAGAAAAACGTTTGTCAACCTAATACAATGTTTAAAAATATTATAATTACTTAAAAGGAAATGGAATAATGAAATATTGTTTTTAATTTTTCTTAGTTACCCACCTCATCTTTAATTTGCGCCATAAAGGGTAGATATCGGCCGAGTTGTCGTGTGAAATAAAATTTTCCCTTCTTTAACTGATTAATAGTTTTTGCATAGGATACTTCATCAAAACCTTTTATATTTTTTTTGCCAGGAATATCTGTCTTCGTACGATTACTTGTAGTTTGCTTCGGAACTTGATTAGCATTTGCTGAATGCAGATTCAGTACTTGACTAAAAGCTTTTAATTCTTTCTGTAAACTATCAGGATTGATTGAAACGAAGATATTTCCTAATGCTTTTAATGCTAAATGTGCCATAACCAAACCAAGTTGTATAGAACCTTCAGTCATTTTATGCCCAGTGACTAAAATATACGGTAACTCCATTTTATGTATAATAGCGTTGAAATTGTTTTGTTCACGTACTGGTTGGGTTGATGGCTGCGGTGCATTCCGATTAAGAATATGCTTGGGCAGGGAATCTGAACAAACATGCTGAAAGACAATAATGGATAAATTCAAAAGAATAACTTCTTTGAAAAAAATTATAAATGATAATTCGATGTGTAATCATTCTGACTGACAAAAGGATTGAAATAGAAATATTTGTGTCCTGAAACTAATTTAAAACAAGTAACAAAAGTTAATAAAGCAGAAGTTAATCTTCCTTTACTGACGTTTGTTGCTAAAACATGTTTCCTACTGATAGCGCATGACTGTGTGTGATATCAAATAAACTTTCGTAATGTGGTATTATATTTTAACACAGTATCTAAATTCTACCCTTACATAAATGGGTTCAGACACAACTTCAGCCTTTGAAACTTCAGATAGGTAACCGCAAAGCTAGCCCACAACCGGATTTCATGGATCTCTGTGTAACCAACTGGTAATCGATAACTGATGGAAGAATCTTCTCACATATAGACCTTACTTCAGTAGACGTTCGGAATGATATTTAACTAAATTTAATTTGATCCTTCCCGTTGACTGATCGAACCGAACTGTTCGGCGTCCGTTGGCGTTTGAATCTACAGGCACTGGGTTCTAGCCTCAATGGGAACACCAAAACCCACTGGGGAATACAGGTGCATACAGCCGACGAGTCCCACATAGAACGAAATGCGCATCCTGGCATTCCACTGCTGGCCAACACCCACCAAATTATTTGGAATGACATTTGATTTACTTTATTTTACTATATTGCACTATAATGACAATGTTCATAATAAGGACACCGGTGAATAATTAATTTTTAGTGCCAGTGTATTCGTGAAAATGGATCACTAAAAAGCTTTGCAAAAAAGGAAGTGAGAACTAGTCTTCTATTTATTCCTAAAAATATTGAAGCAACGTTAACTCTGGAGAAGTCTGCTAAATTACGATTTAGTCAAGTATAAGAGAAGCTCACGAAGTTTTCGATTGTTGACCTTAACATTATTAGAGATGATAGTTCCATTATGGGTAAATTTTATTTTGATAATTTACCCATAATGGAATTGCACTCTACCACAGTGCACAAGTTTTATTCTTATAGAGATGATAGACCTATTAAATAAGTTTCATTCAATACCCATTATATTTGATTGGAAGCCTTAGTTAATATGTGTGCATTCAATGTCTAAGATAAGTTTATTATATATATATATATATAATATTGTTTCCTTTAGTTCCTAAAGGTATACAGGGCTTCAGCGCACGTCTCCATTGCGTTCGGTTCTCTGCCAACGTCTGCCCACATGCTTTCATCTCCTCTTCACATGAACTCCTCCAAGTCACCCTTGTACTGACGACCAACTCACCGCTTCCCTTTCGGGTTCCACTCGAGCGATGGTCTGGAGTGTGAGGTCACTCACTTGGTGGTTTCCTTTGAGTATGGCCAATCCATCTCCATTTCTTCCTGCCTATTTGTTTCACAATCGGTTCCTGCTGGGTTGGTTCGCTCCCAGAGATCCCTGTTGCTGATCTTTTCTGGCCAGCCATCTGATCTTGAGTATTGAGCAAAGACAACTGTTAATGAAGGTCTGTAGTTTGTTTGAGATGCTCTTTATGACGCGCAGTGCAAGTCTCTGATCCGTATAGTAGCACTGACTTCACATTGGAGTTGAAAATCCGGATGTTATTTTTGATGCTAAGTGTTGTTGACCTCCACACAGACTTGAGAGTAGTGAAAGCTTGCCTTGCTTTCCCTAAGATCAGTTAGATTATAATAATGTGACATTTTATCATTCCTTTTATTAGTTCTACTATCTTAAGGATTTTTATTGGACCTAATGAAGTTATTTTTGTCCATTAGTTTGATATGTCAGCATTAAGGTTATTAATCTTAGACAAAATGTGTGATTAAAACAGGCTACATTCGAAAGATATGATTACAATTATATGCTTCGAAAAGCTGCAGGATTAGTTTCAGTAATCTAAAGAAAACTTTGAGTGAGAATTATGCACAATTCAAAGAGATACTTTAGTGTTTCATTACACAATGGATCAGAAGACTGATGAATATTTTGTTCATTGAAAACAGAATTAAGATGATATTAATATGCATACCTTGTACAATATAAATGCAGACAGATCTATTCTCTATATTTGTTCTGGGTAAGAATACATCTCCAATATAAGGTGAATTTCATTTAGACACATTAAAAATTAAATTAGCCAACTTATTTGTTTGAATGAACCTCTAGTAGTGTAACAGTTTCTTCAGGGATAAATGTTCACTGTCTTGGTGCTTGCTATAAACTAAAGTTTAGAAATGCGTCACTATGCTTCTCAGTTTTTCCTTGTTATAAGTATACTTTTTAATCTAAAAAGTGTAAATTTCTATCTGAAATTTGGTTATTTTTCAGCAAATCACCGTCTAGGGAATGACAGACAAAATGAGTGGTAATACTCTTTGAGACCTACAAATAAGGGTCGTAAAGTAGGAGAGAAAACGACATTCCTTTCTTTTCACAATGTGATTTTTTTGCATAGCGCAATATACTTCTACTTAGATCATGATCAGAAGGTTCTTTTACTTAGCTATAACAATGAAACTTGATGATATCTGTAGCTAAAACACATCACATTTAGTACATGGGGCAAACTATATGTATCTTAAAAAGAAATGCTCAAGCTCCATAACGCAACAACTCTTTTGACATTACAAGGAATTTCCTGTGGTGATTTACTCGATTTGTAATTTTATATTAAAAGTTATCTTGAAATAGGTTTGAATTTCTCATCTGAATTCGTCTGTTGAGTTGTAAGTGTTAATACTTTACACTGGTTGGGTCATTTTATTTCATGAAAACCTTTTGAAAACAAAGCTGGGTTTCTATACTGACAGAATCCAGTCTTCATCAAACGAAGGACTAGAAGCATGTCGGACTAAAAGCAAGACATTAGTTGAAATCTAGTGTCAAGTCAAACTGCCAAAGTTCAAAGCTTCCTATCACTTGCCTCCAATCATCTATCAAAGATGGGTTTTATTGTGCACCGTCGTAAAATAAGTAGTACAAGACAGTACCACTGAACCTCACTTCTCAAACTATTAATGGGCCGAGTTTAAAAGCTACATATCTACCGGCTGTCATATGCTTATATATCCATAGAATTGCACCACTGAAGACGCCTGATCTAAGAAAATTCATTTGCACTGCTCAGCTTTCAGGATTTCTCCAGCTGATGTAGATTGTTGACGTAGTCTGCATCAAGAACATTTAAATCCACACAAACCCAATAACTGCAAATAAAAAACAAGTCACTTTTAGAAACTTACGCGTAATTCATCTACAAATCTGTCGACTTCTTCTTCTAGGGGAAATCGTCCAGGTACAAAATTCAGCCTTATATATCTGAAATTTTCATTGATTTATAAAGGGATTTCTATAACCAGTAAAATTGTCTTTGAAAATAAACAATGTTTTAAGGTATTCGTATGCATTATTCACATATGACTAAAAGATAATTGAAAATATTCAGCGAAGAGTTCATTTTTACAATGACACTATTTATCTTTAATCTGTAATAATCACATATTTTTAGATCTTCTTTTCTTAAAACGCTAATATTTCATACAATGTAATTTCATTTTGTCAGGTCTATTTCACTTGAAATGAGTAATCGGTTGTCAAAATACGGAAAGTTTTGCAATCTTGATTCTACTATTTTAACTGCTTATCTTTGATATTAACGTAGACTATGTAGAGAGTTATCTGGTATTCACAACGTTCCACTTAATTTAAATATGACAGTATACCATTTCCACTGAATAGTCTTTCTGCATCTGTTGGTTATTACTTTAGATTTATCTCTGCAAACCAATGGTAAACTAGCTGAACTTATTTTGAATAAAGTTCCCCCGTTTATCACTAGTAGCTTTCGAACTGCCTCTGAGTTGTTTTATTGTGGCTAGAGATGTAATGTAAAGGCGTGTTCTAGTCATTTTAAGCACATGATTTTTCAGTCATTCCTATTTCTCAGTGACGAAGATATCTATGTTCTGAAATACCTTGTTGACTTTTATCATAGGCGCGTACTGACTAAGAGTTCCAAACAAGGACGAAACAGCTGTCCAGTACTCCTTGATTTCTATTGGTTCTCTAAACGAAGTCAGTTTGTAATCGGAATCGAAATCATTCAAATCCTTGCAAACGAACACTTGAAAATCAGCAAATAGTTACATCGAGATGAATCAGCACTCTGATACACTTCAACAAAGCCTTCTTTACTTCTTTTTTGTCTCGATAGGAGAAATAACACATTAGGTTTCAGTCACAGCTAGGAAACAAGTTCAATATATAGACGAAACATACATTGTGGATCCCACGGTTGCGCAACACTAAATAATTTCAGTAAAGACTTTCGTCTTTGACTACTGTTTCGCTTCTTGTTAAGAAACATTGTTTGCTAGGCCAGTCATCTCTTTTATCCACTTTTCAGTACAAAATCGTAAAAATGACTACTACAGATATGGGTTTAACACAGGTCATCTAAAGAAAACGCTTTGACATGATAGTTCACCTTTTGTAGTTTGAGTGGTTTCGGAGTCGATTTTCCTTTTCTTGCATTTATGAGTCACAACTAAGATGTCTTTACCTTGTCATAAAAATCCCAGGTGAGTGGTAAGTTTTAGACTTCAGTTTTTTATTGGTTACAATCTGAACAGATCCAGTTCTTTTTGAAAGAACACCTTTACTTAATTAATCAGATTTTAACAAAGGTAATGTAAAAGTGAATTAGCTATTGGTTAATAACAAAGTCTAAGTTGATCATACCTTTATTGTAACTACATTTCAATGATAGAATTTATAAAGTAACTTAAAATCTGAATGACTCCACACGCTACTCTCTGTCACTAAGAATAATGTGTTTATGGGGCTGCTAAACATGCATTGCCTGAACAGCAAGTGTTCAGAACAATAGAAGAAAAAAATGTATTCGCCTAATATTTAACCATCGCATATAGGCAGTACTACCTGGAAATGTGTGTGTGTGTAATAATAGTGAATTAAAGAAGGCAGAATACGAAGCAAACTATAGGCTTACCGTATTCCATGTTTTCCTACAATAGCACCAAAGTAGACTTCTTCACCGACAAGCAGATAATCTGGTGCTGTAGCTACGTGTGCAACAGGTTGATTTTCAAAGAATGTAATATCATCATAAAAATAAAATACACTTTCTCTTTTAGCCTTTACAGTGTTGATTACCTAATAAAACATTTGAAAAAGTTGGATATTCACCATTTATAGGTTTTTATACGAAAATATGTTTATAAAAAATATTGAAACTTAACGGAAATAAACATATTTCCATTCCATGGTTAGTACATCAACTTATCAAAATATTAAAGAGGTTTACCTAAAGAAATTCCCATAAAACACTTTTGCAATAAAATAGAGATCACAATGTAATGCTTATTAGACATAGCCTCTTATGTTGACTGGGGAGCCTGAAATCAGGGGAAATTTACCAAGCTGTAACTGATCAAGTCTTTCTTTCTTCTCTTCGTTTCTTTGAGTTCCGAGTGAAAAACAGGGTTTCTAGCAATGAAGTTTCAGTAGCTAGACTCACACCCAAACTTATCTCTATACCCGGCCTGCCATAGACTGTTAGGCCAGGCTAGGTTAAAGAGTGTGTCTACCGGGAAACGAAGTTGTGCATCCCGTGTGATTGTCTAGTATTTTGTCATTGAACCAGTGATGAGATTACGAAGATAATACGCATTTAATTTTCTGCTTCACTTACCTCGTACACTTGCAAGCAAATTAAGCAGATAAGTAATCACAAGACGTAAGCTGTACTCACTACTCTTGGGTCCTTCTGGAAATTGAGTCAGAGAAGTATGCGACTGATTCTCTTTACCTAATATTGACTCACAATAAAAGTAAGTGTGACATTTTACTTGAGATTACCACACTGATACAACTGTGTCCCAAAGATTGGTTGGTAGTGTCTTTGATTGCTTATGAACACTGCAGTCCAATATTTACATAATCTTCATCTAGCTGTCAAGAATCGGTATGCATGGCTTCAAATCACCCGGTTAAGTAGGCAGATTACTCTGCATGACTGTTTTATTAAAGGCCTTGACATTATTTTGACATGTTTTGACCTAAGTAGTTCTGGTTTGCGAAGAAAGCAAGTTGGAATTTTACTTTTGAGGGTGTACACTTTGCAAAAGGAAACGATTTTATGGCATGATAATTCTACACTCATGTTTTATGTTAACAGATATTAAACATGAATACACTCACTTCCTCACGACATTTCACCTCCATTTCCTGCAAGTCAATACCAGTTTGGTGTGGATCTTCCACTATATTTTGAACTGACCTATAGTCTCTGATAGCATATGGATACCAGTCACCTTTTTCAAATGTGAACAGGCAAGGATCACTTCGGACATTGACTACTAGACATTTCTAAATAAACAACAGGTAAAATATACGAAAAGAATATACAAAATACATCAGCTTGAACAATAAACATGAGTAATTTTTGGGTAATATAATATGCTAGCGTTAGACATTTTCTCAACTCCTTGTGATCTCACACATTTAGACTGAACTAATTAAAAATGAATTTTTGAGAAATGAGAAATCTATAGTTATCAAGCTGTTAAGCGAGTAATTACTTTCATGAATTCAGGTTACCGCCTGAGAATGGCAGCTTTTATAATTTGATAAACGTTGCTCGTGAACTTACGAATTATATCAAAAGCTATTATCACTATAAAATAGGGTATGGTGCTTCAGTTTAACATTTTATCTTATCAGTAAACATCACTGATGCCTACAACATGAGGGGTATATTTCCACAGGTTTCACTTCACACTCCACTTTACGACAAAATATAACTTCCAGAAATTAAATTGGCTCCACTGAAAACTAAATATGACAGCCCTTAGTTAGATCAGTTTTATGCTTTGCAGCAATTTATCACATTTTTCCAAAAAACAAAATTTTTTTGTCAGTAATATCACAAAGATTGTTATCTTTAGGTCTTAAGTCCTCATGCATTATTTGATTACAAACAGTGAAGCATAACTACTACAAAAGAAGTAAATTTAACAGTTGCAAGAAAATCGACCATAGTCACAAAGATATTTCGATGCTCTCAATGTTAGTTTGCGCAAAACCATGTAAAGGAAAATTTCGCATCTAGTATGTACACTTGGAGCATCATCAGAAGCACTTACAACAGGCCACAGCCTTTCATCAACAGCCGCCTTTTCAGGTTCGACATCGAAGATCATAAGGCCAGAAAGGATAAGTAATAAAAACTCTGGCATTTAATCAGCTGCCGTTGGCCTATTACCGCATAAATATTCAGAAGGAAATGGAGATGGACCGGACACATTCTGAGGAATCCATTAAGTGACGTGACATGCCAAGTCCTAGAGTGAGAATTGAATGAGAAGCGATGAGTTGGGCTTCGGAGGGTGACATGGAGGAGCTCATGTGAACAGGAAAACAGTGCTCTTGGTGAGTCGCGGTGACAGGTGAAAATGACGTCAGAGAGCAGAGTCGAATGGTGATGTACTGCCGAGGCCTTATTTCCCACTTGGAACGCAGGAAAAGAATAATAATAAGTACTGTTTTAAGCTCAATGAATGATGTATTACAAAATTAGATGATACGGTATCTTTTGAAGTGCTGAATTTGTACATCTATGTTCCTGTAGTGAGTGTCTTTCTGAGTAGACAGAGCATGAAACCTTCACATTTAATGGATCGTAGCAACTTAAGATTTTTAACGTATTCATCAAGGGTGAAACAAAGTAACACAGGTAGAAGTGGTTATATTACTATTAATACTTTGTAAATAAAGACAGAAAAAATTCAGAAAGCTACAGAAATTTTAGGAGGCAACTACACACTCATGCAGACCACGCTTATCAGCTATTACAGAGCGATTCAAACTTAATCACATATACCAAGCAGACTAAAACATTCTTCAGGATATTTAGTTGCAATCAGAGCTATCAAAGCACATAATCAGTTTCAATATTTACCTGTTTATTCAGTTAACTTCGATAACTTCGTCTAAAGTGAATATGATGGTCTTCCAGTCACACCGTTTAGCTTATGAATTATAACCGAACTAAGTTATAAGTATAAGCCACATGATAAATATCAGTTATAAAATTTCCGTGATATGCTAGACCATAAAATGGTGAAACGTGGTTCGATATATCTTTTCATTAAATGTTTATTAATTTATTGGTTTCACTATTGTAATTTATTATTATCCGCTTGTGTTGTGATTGCAGCACAGAGATTCGGCAGTTCTCTTTAGCTGGTTCCACGATTAACCACAAGTTCTCATCTCCTGTCTACACAGTCTCCTGCATGTCATACTCAGACGCCCAAATCACCTCTTACTATTGGAGTTCCACTCAAGAGTCTGGCAGGCAATGTCACTCAACGGTCTCTTTAGCGCTTTACCGATGCGTCTCCATTTCCCTATCCATTTTTATGTTGGGCAATAGGTTCTTGGTCGATTCGTTACCACTGATCCCGGTCGCCTTTTCCTATTCAGTCAATCATCTCATCTCCAGTATCCAGTCACAGAGGGCAGCTGTTGGTGAATATCTTCAGTAGCCTGTTGGGAATGCATTTTGTGACGTGCAAACCGAATCTCTGAATCATATGGAAGCTGACTTGATATGACTGTAAAATTTGGGCCTTGTTGCTTGTGTTGACTGTGGAAGATGTCCACTCTGATTTCAGAGTAATCGAATTTGTCAAACTTTTCCTATCCTACCTTTGACATCTTCATCTGTCTCGGAACCTGTAGTTGAGATGATGCTTGCCTAAACACTCTTTTAACTACCTCAGAGAGTTAAACCACAACAATGAAAAATAAACAGAAATGCTTATTTATTCATACTTTAAAAGAGTCTTGTTTTTAAATGCAAATTTACTAGTGGCTGAATGATTTAAATTGGTATGTCCATTGATTTAACCATCTTTTACTCATTTCTTATTAGATTTTTAAGAGTTTCAAACCATGACAAATCAACTATTCGGTGTCTTTCTTATTCAACAATCTTTCAGCTACTAAATGCCGGGAATGAACTTGAAATCAGTCTGTTCTTCACTTGTTACTGAAATAGAGTATTCTGATTTTGTTTACCAATGGCCAGAGTCAGTTAGTTGTGTTAAAAAAACTAAGATAACTAAACATTGGTGCAATAATTCACTTACATGATTGAGCAAACTGTCCAGCTTTTGTTTTATGCCTTCAAATGATGGCTGAGACATGCCACAAACAGGTAACTGAAGTTTCGACTTTTGTTCAACCACTGATTTCTTTGTATTCGCTTGTAAATTGACTAAATGGTCCTCATCCTCCTCGTCATCTCTCACAAGACAATATTTCCCCTTGTTAGATATAATTGAGAGGAAAACTGGTAATAATAATAGTAATGGTAACTATAGGCATACAAAAATTGATTTTTCATAAACATTTAGGAAGTATTTTCAAGTATTGGTTTTTGTAGGGATTTTGTTTTATTGGTTGGAGGATTTCGTCGTGAGGTAACATCAGTCAGAGAACCACTGAAAAACAAGCTGGGAGTACTGGACATCTGTTTTATCCTAGTTTGTGACTCTTGAGCAGTACGCACTCACCACCAGGGTTCGAACCCAGGGCCTCTTAGTTACAAGGCGAGCTCGTAAACTATTAAGCCACTGGGACCCGATCCAGTGGCCCGTGATGAAATCCTCCGACCAATCAAACATAATCCTTACAGAAACCCATACTTGAAAATCGATCTGATGCTCACTAGCGCCTGGCCATATTCAGGCAGTGACCTGGGGTTCTAGTGGGAAACCGTGACCAGTAGGGTGAAGCAGGTTGAAGGTGGGGCAGTAACTCATTGAAAAAGACATTGCGAAGTAGCCGCGCTATGTCATGAATCCGCAGAAGTTAGAATTCATGGGCCATTGGATTGGGTCCCAGAAGCTCCTGGGTTCGAATCCCCGTGGGTGGATGCGTCCTGATGAAGAGTCCCAAACTAGGCCAAAATAGCTTTTCAGGACTCCCAGGTTTTCCATTGGTTCTCTGATTGACGTTGGCTCATGATGAAATCATTCAACTAGTTTAGAAAATATTCGTGTAATGTATAATTTTTGGTCACATATCAAGAATCAAATACACATTCTTTAGTTTTTATCAGTTCTGTAAATGATAAAAGTTTTCGTATCGATATTTACTGGAATTGTAAGTTCTAGAGAAACTCCATATTAGATAAGTTTATTTCAAATATCACACAGTGATGCAACATCAACAACTGGATGATGGTTCGAGCATAAATTATTGCTCATAATCATATCAGTTTAGTCGTGCAGCTTCACAATTTGTCTCATATATTGCATGGAGGATTTCATCATGAGCTGACATCAGTTAGAGAACCACTGGAAAACCTGGGAGTACTGGACAGCTCTTCCATCCTAGTTTGGGACTCTTCAGAAGTATGCACCCACCTTTTCCACATCTCCTGTATAGGTGTTGCATCATTTCAGTTGCACGTGTGCGGTGTTGAATCGATAAACAAAGACTCAGGGATTAACCTGTCTCTCTCTCTCCACCCAACTATATTACTTTTTCATGCTCTCACCCTGTCCCACCCACCCTATTTTGTAATTACATGCGAGTGGATGCAATGCAATGGCTGAGCTTTTTTCTAGGTCATTTAACTTAACAGGTTAGGTGGAGAGAGAGAGAGAGGACAACACCGCACACGTGCAACTGAAATGACGCAACGCCTATACAGGAGATATGGAAAGTGGAAACACACAAGGGAAGATAAGGAGTGAGAAAGAGAGAAGAGAAGCCGTACGACTAAACTGATATGATTATGAGCAATAATTTATGCTCGAAACATCATCCAGTTGTTAATATTGCATCACTGTGTGATATTTGAAATAAACTTATCTAATATGGAATTACATTCTACCACAGTGCCCAGGTCCTACACTCACTTTCGTGAAACTCATCAGCTTTTTATTCTGTATACATGGTTTTATATACTGTTAGGCAATGGAGGTATAAATACATACAAATATGTTAAGCTATAATTATTATTTTAATCATTATATTCTGTTCATATAATACATATGATTCTCAGGTTTCGCACTGTTATCAAACACACCTGATGACTGCTAACTTTTGTGTACAAAACCAGTTAATTCACTCATAGTCGAATCATTCTTCATATTCAATTTCTTGCTTCCTCCATTCCTCAAAACCTATTTTTACTTCCATATTTAACCTGATTAAATTATTCAGGTATTGGTGTCAAATTTCATTCAGTGTCTCACTATGCATTATGTGTGTATGTATGCTGCCCTTCATTCAATCACAGCATACAAAATGGTGTTTGTGGAGAAAAATGCAGATGAGTTCTACTGAAATTTATGCATTTAATCAATCTTGCTGCAAAAATTTCGTGGTGAAAAATAAATAAATTAAAAAAATAAATAATTGAAAGATTACACTTGATCATGAAATTATGTGGCGTAGCCTTAGCTTAGCAGATCGGTGTTAATCCGGACTATTGGTTAGTAGTTTTATGGTAGCTACTGCGAAACAAGTTTCTACTTCTCCTCACACATCGTCCGTTGTATAAGTATTTATGTATAATACACCTTTGTAGAAGCGGTAAAATGCACTAAATTGCATTTGAATACGCTGCATACTTTGGAAAGTTTTAACATATTTTTCAGCAAAATTCCTAACTAAGTAATAACAACCAATATTTGGTAAAATCCAATGAAAAACTATGGGAAATTTGTTGTCCTTGAAGTTCGCGCTTTCTCTTTAATATATGTGTGAATAAAACACGAGTCCCAAATGGGACGAAATGCGCATCCTCGATTCCACTGCTAGTCACCATCCACCATAAACACTTCTAAATTTTGTCTTTCTAGAGATAAACTATCTCTGTTTATTTTTACTATGCACTTCATGATTAACTGGACTGTTCTGAAGAACTCCTGTTGACTAATTGATCTTTATATACACGGACATTACTAAATCATAGGAGGACTCAGATATGAGAGTTGTTAACTGTAAGAATTCGTAACAGTTTTCCAGCCGATTGAGCTTAAAACGTTGTTGCACAGTATCTTCGCTTAATTATCTTGTCGATGCGCTAATTTTCATTATGCATTCCATATGATTTTTTTTAAATTTTGGACAGTGTAGACGATAAAAATGTGTTCATAGCAAATTGATGGGCATTCTGTGATTCTAATTTTGCATTCTGTGGCATTTATGAAAAAGGAGTACTTGAAACTCCAGTGAAACTGTTGTTAATTTGGAAACCTAACTTTGATTCTGAAATCAGAATATACTAACCTTTTCCGGTTGCTGTTCGCCTTCAGTTTAACTAAAATATGTTTATCACACTAAATATAATTTTAATTTTACTAAATTTTTATCATTATAGGTAATTTTCTTATCTTATTGTAGCATTCTAGATCAAACTGTTTGATAACTTATTATTTACACACCCGTCTGTTATGAAAACATTATGGATAAACTCATTACTGTTTTTGTTTTCATTTACCCTGTTGGCGATAAATATTATCGCTGTCACAGTGCATTTACGTTTTGCCTAAATTACTGATAAAATGATGATTGGTGAATCTCCCAACTATTCAAACACACTAACTGAATCATAGAATCACTCTGTAGTTGGAATATGGTATGCTGAATACTGAAACTGTTGAAATGATTATTACGGTTTTTCATAGGTTAAAGAAATGATGCCTAGTCGTATCGTTCAATATAAAAACTGAATAAGAGTTGCACTTGAAATGCAAAGAATATGGGTTAGATGATACCTCTCTTCACTAAACATATCAGCATGCTAATCAGCTCTCGTAATGCGAATTGAGACCTTTCTCATCTTTCCAACTCCAGTTCCGTCGGTCATGAAAGAGGTGGTAGGACTAGCTGAAACTTGGTTTCCAGTTGTAACTGAATTCATCAAAGATGTCGACATTTTTTTCATAAGCCTTATTTTGTACGGTTTCAGTGGATTAATTTTCGTATCCTTTGTCTCTCTCAATTGTATGACAAACGTTAAAGACAAGGTTTATTGTTAGAAATTATTTAGATAAATAATGCGTTGAGTGTGCGAAATACTAAGACATTTTTCCTCTATTTTGTCACCTTTCTTGCAAAATGTCTTTGATTTTCTTCTAGACCCTACAAAGTCTGCTTTTCTAATAATTATTAGTAGGAACAACAAAATCTGAAGAGATTCTAATCAGCGATTAATTCACTTTTCTAAAAAGACATGGCAATCATTATACTGTTGATCTACTAACCTGTATCATAGGATGTGCAATCATATTAGGTCCAAGTTGTTTCACAATGATTTCAGGCAACTCTTCGACAAGTGTTTGATATTCTTCTTCACATCCATGAACAACAATAGCTGCTGTCTTGTCTGCTCGTATACAATGGTCTGTTTTATTTACTCCTAAAAAAAATATTCAGTTATATAAAACAATTATTTGTTATTTATTTAACACTGATTTTCAATGTACCTATAATACAAGAGAGTATAGAATGTTAGAGAAAGCTGAATTATTCATCCTTTCATTAAGATAACTGTATTTGTCTTTTAAATTACTATAATTACTATAATGAGTCTACTTTGTAGACTATAATTTTAGTACAGTCTTTAATAATCTTTTTGTAAATTCCCCATCATTAATTATTACTCCTGTAAGACGTTGAGTAAGGAAATTTGTTCTAGTGCTCTAACGTATATTTATCTTTCTAAGACGATGTGTCCGGCCTATTTTTACTAATCTATAAGCGTGATTAGTTTCATGGCAGTCAAAGCACACGTAACTGATTTTTTTGGGAGTGGAAGTTCGCATGCAATTTTTGATAACTTTCAAGTACATAAAGTTTAAAGTGATGAATCATTAGTTTTATTCTATAAAATTATTATTAGTATTTCTGCAACTATGCTTTAAAAGCAGTAGAGTTATCAAGGATTCCAGAAGCATTTTAAAAGGCTATTATTTGATCATAAAGACATTAAGTCTTATTCAATATCTGTATATAATGGACTTTTTTTACAAAAGTTAATATAACATTTGTGGATACAAAGCATTCAGAATAGGAGTATGGAGAACTCGGAATTGACAGTAATGATACAAATGGTGTCTAAACCTAATTTTATCACTAGGATCTTTGAGAATGCCATTGAAGTGGCATCACTGCCGTTCGCACTATATTTTAAATCTCAAATTTGATAGTTAGTCTTCACAGACGACTGTCTTGATCATTTCTGGTGTCCAAGTGATATGTCGACTGACATACTGACATGTGATAAATTCTAAAAATTAGAACATTTCTCCACTTAGTTTATAATTACTTTTTAGGTATTGATTTTGTAGGGATATTTTTCGATTGTATGAAGGATTTCATCATGAACTGACATCAGTTAGAGAACCACTGGAAAACCTGGGAGTACCGGACAGATGTTTCGTCCCAGCTTGGGACTCTTCACAGTACGCACCAACCAACGTTCGAACCCAGGACCTTCTGGTTACAAGGCGAGCTCGTAGATCACTGAGCCATTGAATCGGGTCCCAGTGGCTCAATGGTCTACGAGCTCGTCTTGTAACCAGAAGGTCCTGGGTTCGAACCCCGGTGGGTGCGTACCGTTGAAGAGTCTCAAGCTGGGACGAAACATCTGTCCGGTACTCCCAGGTTTTCCAGTGGTTCTCTAACTGATGTCAGTTCATGATGAAATCCTCCATGCAATTACGTTTTAATATCCGCACTACAGCGCATGCTCTTGAGAGATTCCTCATTAACACACAACACACAAATAAATGAATGTATTCACTGCTAATATGTGTAAAACTTCAACTCTCTGGTAGTATGTAACTTCATATCAATTTATTTACTGGCTAGACAGGACAGTGAAACAGTTTCATTTACTGAATTCGGTCCTGTTTTCCTCAGGTAGGAATTTCGCCTCCATTAATTTTCTGAATTTCTTTATCTGCTTCTTGGTCTGTTTCTTCAATGCCGCTAATCTGGCATTATTAGCAGATTCTATCATGAGATCACAATACTTGTTTTTAAATGTCTCCAATAATTTAAGTTCCAACTGCTTAATTTCATTTCCTGTGAATAATACTGTTTCATACGGCCAAATATCCAGTGAATATATTAATCTTTTTATCCTTACAAGTCTTAGATAATTTCTTCTTGTTTTACAAATAAAAAATTACCACTTCTGACTCCGTTTCGGAATCCGTGGTGCGCCAAACCTCTGCTCAGTATCTAAATGACATCCAGTTTAAATTAAATCTCGCTATGCATTTATAAATTGAAAGAACACGTCGTACTCATCTTACGAAAAAAACTTAGATTTTATTATGCAGATCTGTATATATTGTCTTTCGTCTGAATTATCAACAAAAGAGCATGCAAAAATTCAGTAAATGGAAACAATCACCTTTGTTCTGCGCTGTTTCCAAATTATTTTCATTCTCATTAGGCGCATTGTTATCTAGAGCAGATAACATGACAAAAAGTAATGAAAGCAAAGAAATATCTATATTAGAAATTAGTTGAATCCGAACCACGAGCAAAATATCGCACTAGATTGAAAAAAACGTGAAATTTCTAAATAACATTAAGAAAATAGAAGGATAGTCGTCACGATGTTTGGTCTTTTTGCTTGTAAATTTAAGTAAATAAACTGGTCGGTACTTTTTCTAGGATATCATCTCCCTGGGTGAATACTCTGATTATTATATGACATTTATGTACCTTCTGGTTATTAGTCATGGAACCTAGTCTTCTACTTCTTTAATAACTGAAGACTGATTCGTTAAATTTTTTTCAATCCAAAGATTAGACAAAAATTCAGCAGTGTGGAACCGGTATGAATGCGTAATCCAGTGTTTATTAATATGATATTTGCCTCAATGAATACTGTGCGTAGCTGTCGGTGTGAAGATCAAAGATCACTGAAAGGCAGGTGTATTTAACCGACATATCCCTATTAGAATGTAACACACGGCTAGCATTCAACGAATTATTGTTTAAGGTAATCTGCATTTCCTGTTGATCGATTATGTTGTACCGAAATGGTCAATCCATAAAGACCGATAATAACTGCTTCCCGTTTCAAAAGGTATCTATCTCGGTCCAGTGGATACAGCCTTGGCGTTTGAGACGACGAATGCACTATTCGAGTCTCGGTGGGAACATCATCGCTCACTGGAGTGCAATTACATCCATGTGATGTGAATGAAATAGAACGAAATGTGCATCCAAGAATCTACCACAGACTGAAACTGCATCCAACACACCTTATGAAATCTCATAACTGATTGTTTAGAGCTTACTGTTATAAACACCAACAGAATAGTCACTCAAGCCTCCAACTATGAATGGAATATGGTGAAGTTTAAAACTTGGGAGCTCTATTTATTAGTCAAATTCACAGTAAGCAAATTATTTGCGCCTTAAACAATCTGAGGTGAAATTTCACCACAGTTACATTTGAAAGCCGGAATCATTCTGGCCAAAATAGGTAATCTGCGTTATACCATAAGTGGAGATCAAGCAAGCAAGCAAGCGTAATTGCATACAACTATGCAGTACTAATTGACTGAGATGAGTATTTGTACAGCACTTGAATCAGCTAGCAGTGCTTGCCAACCACATCGGAGTTACCTAACTGTTAACTGGAGAGTAAAAAATCTACTCATGTCACCCGGCCGACACCCACGAATACACTGAGAGAGTAAATATCATTATGTCAGCAACATCATTGAAGGCTCTTGTGCAGTGGGAACCAGTCTCCTCTCCAGCCATGACAGCATGACTCATTTCAAAAGGTAAGAAAGTTAAAATTATACAACTCTATACTGTAACAAAAAATGCGGATCAAGAGAATGAGGGAGAGTTCTACAGATAACTGCAAGCAGCAATGTACAAGAAACTGAATGGTGACATGAAAATCCTAATGGTTGATATGAATGAAATTCAAAATAGGAACAGACAACAGGGGAACAGAACTCATCATGGGTCTGGAGGCACTCAGCGAAATGAATAAGGACAGATAACTCTTCAAAGATCCCTGAGCCTTCACCGATTTGGTGAATGGCGGCAGCGTGTACAAGTAAATGAACATCCACAAATCAAAATGGCTATCATTAGACCGACACACCGGAAATCAGACCGACTTCATCCCAGTCTCGAAGATCTGGTGACGAGAAAAGGAAAAGCAGACGTGGGCGCAGATCGTTGTGCAGTCCAAGGAACTTTCAAGGTCAGGTTGAAGGCCCTCAAAGTAGCCATGAAAAACCGACACTCAGCTTCAACTCTCAGAAACTCAAGAACGAAATTACGAAATACACCTCTGCTGCAACCAACGGAAAAAATGAGAGACGTTAAGCAATATTAAGACCTTCGATAGTGTCGATACTGATGTAATTTGGAAACTGTTTCAGTACTTCTGTAGACAACAAATCACCGACCTCATTCAGCAGCTATGTGATAAGACCACACGTCAAGTGATTCACGAAACGCATTTCCAACAGGCCAGTGAAAACATTCATCAACAGTTGCCGTCTATGACTGGATACTGGAGATGAGATTGTCGACTGGATAGGAAAAGGCGACCGGGATCAGTGGTAACGAATCGACTAAGAACCTACTGCCCAACAAATATGAATAAGGAAATAAAGATGGATTGTACATACTTCAAGGAAACCACTGAGCGCCATCACACACCATGCGCTAAAGTAAAGCATGTGTGGGGAACGACGAGTCTGGTGTCTAAGGACGAGATAGAATCGACTGTATGAGCAGAAAATGGTAGCTTACGAGCAAACACGAAGCCAGCTAAAAACATAAGCCTTGGGAGTCGACTAAGAACCCAAGGGAACAATAATAATAATAACACCAATTATCATTTGAATAATTTCTTTTAACTAATGACCGAAGTCTATGCTCAGGTATCTACTCGGGTGTTTTGAAACGCGCAAATAGTGATTATTGGGTTCTGATGAGAAGAAACACAAAGTTAGCACATGTACTCTACGTTAGTAATTGTGTTTCATAGTTTTCTGATGAACTCAGTCTTTTTAAATGCGCTTTCACAAGTGTTCATTTAGAGAATGAGCAAATGAATTAAATACAAATTGTGATGAAGACAACATTGTGTTTGTTTAAATGTTGGCCAACTCCAAGAATACTATTTTATCTTCGTATAATGAGTCCAGAATGAGAATGTTAGTAATAGTAATAAATTATAAGTCAAAAAAGTATAATAGTGATTTACCTTTGTGTTTATCATTCATATTGTTTGCATTTTCATGTGATTCATGCATTGACTTAACTTTTCGTTTCCATTTACGACCTCCTCCATGGACGCTTGCAGCAGTACCCATTATTTACGAAGATTTGGCTGATTGCACTAGATGGATTTTAAAATGAATTAATATAAAACAGAACAAATTTATCTAATGGTCACAAATACTTCCATAAAAACATTCTTCAAGTGTTACTAAAAATTAAATTATATAAATTAATTTATTACCCATATAGGTTATGACTAAATCATACTACTTAAGTGTATCCACAGTCAGACATCTATTTGCACGTTTTGCGAAAATCCCAACAACATTTAAACCAGTGACATATGTTACTGGACTCTCCCTTCTTAGTTTAGTATTTTATATGCATTGCTTTTTAATATATATATATATATATATATATATGCTGTCTAGATTAATTTAATACTTCTGGATTGAACAATTACTAATGTACAGAGTGCGTCGGTGGCACAGCGGTAGAATGCTCGCCAACCACGCACGTGGTCCGGGGTTCGATCCTCGGCCGACGCACTCCTTTACCTCGCTAAGCCAGTAATAAGACTGGTAAAGAGGGAAGGTTGGGTGTGAGTCTAGCAACCTCACCCCGTAAAATTGAATATCACTCCTACCGAAACTTCAAGCCCCTAGCCTGAAGCCCTATGTGCCGCTGAGAACGTAAAGGAATAAAAAATGTACAGAAAAAGTCATTTCAAGTAGCAAGCATACAATTTTCTGAGTATTTTATATCACAAACTAACATTGACAGATAAATCTTTGAAAATTCAAGGTATTAATACCAGTGGTTTAACTTAACTGGAGACTATTGGTCATCATATGTCACCAAATCTATAAAAGATCAAGTTTAGTTGGTCCATATTTTATAACTGCCTCTCATACACATCACAATCTTCACCACACATCACCACCAATCACTTTTTTTCTTATGTCTGACTTGTGTAGTCTAACTAACCTTGGGTACTCTCAAAGACCTGGAGAAATTCATCGTGAGACATGTCAATGAAAAGCATTAGGTTACAGTTTTGAGTCAACAGATTATAGACGCTCATACACACATTTGTTGATAATGTACCTATAATAAAGTAGCCGACTATCATAGGGAAGATTTGTACTTTAAAGTGACCTCTTGTATGCGGATGGAGGCTAATAAATCCCTTTTTTGATAAACGATAATCGGTCTATAGACTTCAACCTCCTGAAATTCCGTATCCCTTAAAGTTGTTTCCGAGTATTACACCTGTGACTTTCATGATAAATTATTATCGTAATAGTCACGTAGTACGTTATGATTGTTATTATTACCATATCTTCAATGTTAAATTCAGATGTTCTGAGTTAGCCTATTGGTGAAACAACACTTTGTGTTTAACTTTAGCAATTAACTACTAATCATTCAAAGCGCACTTTTTGTTTTAAAATAAATTGCACATATTTCAAAAGGATTCATTTTTATTGACTTCTGGTTCTTTAAATAGAAGAAAACAAAAGCATAGGTATTTTGAATGTATATTGCACAGTTAAATAAGTCACATAAGGATCATGTATATGTGATGTTAACTATTATACTTTTAGCAGTTTTCTTTTCCAAATACTAATTACTTTTTAATTATTTATTTTTCTCTAGATTCGCTTTATAAATTTAACAAAATGTTTCATATCAGCTGTTAAATTATCTTACAATAGATATTTTAATTAATTACACTCTGTTTTAGTCAGTGCTCTCCCGGATATGCATACCAGATCAAAAACCGTTTCACTGACATGAAAATTAGTTGTGATTTGAGTACACAATCACTGACTATAACGTGACGGGACCAACTGCTTTAACACCCAAAGAAAACATTTGGTTTCCAAAACTGCCTAGCAGGAGGGTTAAACGGGGAAACATTTTTGGCTTCTCTTCCAATAAATCTTCACATTTTCAAACCAATACAGGTATGGTATTAAATAAGATAGAGCTGACACGTCTTAAACCTCACCTAGTCATAAGCCTCGGAAAAGAGAGAAGTTTAGGAGTCGGACTAGCGATCCTACCAGATAAATCAACCCAATCACCGCAGAAAAGTCAAACCACAGAGAAAAAACTTTAGAAAAATAAACTTATTCCCCGCTGTAATCGATGAGAAGAAATGAGGCAGGCTGGTGAAAGTCTTTGAGTAGTCAGTCAGCTGATGTGCATTCCTTCTATGATAGCAGAAATTATCATGAGGACATGGAGTATTGGCACGGTATTCGAAGGTAGCAAGACTAATCGGACTGGAAAAAAAGTGAGGTTCGGTATAGAATCCTGGGGAATATATGCAAGCAGGTAGGATGCAAATGGAGTCTCTAAATTGTTAATTGCAGAGTGACTAATCTGATCTGGTCATCTAGACGACAATGAAGAACATAGGAGGCTCACATTACAGTGTCCTCCAGGATAATCACAGCAAGACTCAACCCAGAAGGTAGGAAAGTTACAATTATCCAATGCCACATTCCTACAAACAATGCGAACCGGGTGGTAGAAGAAACAGGACCTCTACAGATAACTGAGAACAGTAATGGACAAGACCACAGCCAGACAGCGACACTAAAATCCTGATGGGTGAGATGGGTGCCAAAATGAAAGCAGATAGCGTAGAAAGATAACTGTCGATGGCACAAAAAGTACTCGCTCGGTGAAATGAATGAGAATGAAGAACTTTTCAAAGACTTCTGAGCCTTCAGTGATTCATTGATTGGAAGAAGCGGGCACAATCTCAAGGATATGCATATAGCGACATGACTTTCACTGGATGGACACACCGAAATCCAGATAGACCTAATCTCAAAAAAGTCTAGCCTAATGTAAGTATGGAATTACGGCACTATGGAAGAATACAATACCATATTAAATGAATTTATAAAACTCACGACGATTAAGTACTGATCCTTTTCCAATAATGTAATCTCTTCCAACAAGTTTTCATCTTTTTAACAAATATAAGTACGGTATTAAATAAGATAAAGCTGACATGTTCTAAACCTTGCCTCATGTCAGTGGTATGATGTGATTATGAGAAATAAATTGTGTTCTAGACATCATCTAGTCATCAATACTGTATCAAAATGTGTTATATAAAATAAGCCTATCAAAAATTAAAGTGAAGATGCAGCCTACTGGAAAAAAATGCATGTTAAGATTATAACCTATTTGGTAAAACAATCTCCAAAATCAAACTCAAGGCCTTCAGAGCCAGAGATAAACCACAATTCACGTTCGACACCCAGAAACTGAAGAATCATACTATAAATTTCACCTTCACTGCAAGCTGGAAATGGACCACAATTCAGGTTGAACACTGAGGAACTGAAGAATTGATCTACAGAGAACACCTACTATGCAGTCATCAGACCATAGTTGAAGACACTGTGTAGCCTCACAGAGGAGACACGTTTTGGAGAACACTGAAAATCTCTGGAACTGATGTGAAAGACAAACCTACATAACTATCTGAAGAAGGAAAAATTGCAAGAAAAGGATTGACTTTCTAGAGACCTCTAAAAGCTAGAAGAGGAGAGAGGGATAGTGAAACAGAAGATGAACCAGTGCAAAGATGGACAATGAAAGGAGTAACTCAGGTCAATTTACAACGCATTGAACGAAAAGGTGAAGAAGGCAATCCTACGACACAATGGGAACTGAAGCAGTATAGGCCATGAGTAATTGGAAGCTAAGAAAGCCATACCAGATAACCAGGTGGCTATCAGGAAAGAGGTAAACTCAGATGAAACCGACGAAATATGGTGTGGGGGGAACGTAATTATCAGAAAGGAGAAACAAAGGAAACGGTGGGTTGATCATTTCAAAAATCTCTTGTACAGACCACCACCTAAAACTAATCCAGATATACCGCCAGTAGAAATGACACTGGCAGTGAACAGCAATTCTTCCACAAAAACGGAAGTCTTGAATATCACAAAGCTGCTGGAAGCTAGCTAAGAAGGCAGCAGGACAGGAGGGAATTCCTTCGGAAGCACTGAAAACGGGTCCGGATACCTCGGTGTATATTCTCACGCCACTGTTGTGGGTTTGAAGGAAGGAAAGGCACCTACTGATTGGGAGAATGATTACCTTTTTATACCACCAAAGGAGGGAGACTTGAGTCTTTGCAAAAACTGGGATAGAATCATGCTCCCATTCAAGCCAAGGGAAATATTAAGTCGCGTCATCTTGGACAGACTAAAAGATATCCTTGATGCAAAACTTCCCGCGGAACAAGTTAGGTCCAGGAAAAACAGAGCATGAGCAGAACAAGTTGCAGTGCTACGCATCATCATTAAAACATTTAAATGTACCCCAACTTCACTGACTTTGAAAATGTCTTCGATAGTGTTGATTATGACGTAATTTAGAAACGATGACAACACTGTGGAGAGCCTCAAACTTTTATCAACTTCATTCAACTGCTATATGACACATGTCAGGTGATTCACAACGGAAAACTCAGTGAAGCGTCTGAAGTAAAGATAGGAGTGAGATAAGGATTCCTACTACCGCAGATGACATTCGAGACCATAGTGTATTGGATCATGAGGCAGACCATCAGGAGCGAGAAGACAGCAATATATTAGACCAATAAGAAGACTCTGGAAGATTTAAACTTTACAAATATCTATCTCTCATATATCAGAGACTCGAAGATCCCCAGGTGGAAACCAAGAGGTTGGCAGAAGACGCCAGCAGCAAATACAGCATTGCAAGTGAGCATACAGAAGACGGAGAGGTCAAAGATACCCAAAAAACAACAACAAGCACCAATCAATGTCAACGAGTGAAATTTGAGAATCACCTCTTTCATTTATTTAGGAAGCATAGTTTAAACTACAGGTGGCATGGATCGGAAAAGGGAGAAAGATCTTGATTACTTTGAAATGAGTTTAAAAATCTACTGCACTCAGCATAAAGAACAAGATGTCAATTTTCAACACTTACGTCAAGTCATTTCTTCTGTGTGTTTCATAAATTTGACGTGCGTCACAAAACAGGCTTTTATTGACAGCTGTCTTCACTCCATTCTGAAGATCGGATGGAT